GGTCTATCGGTGGGAGAAGAAACCTTTCATTGCTCCGGATGCAACATTTACAGGGCCAGCAGATGATGTTCCTCCTTCAATGGAGTTGGATACACCATTTGGGTATTTCCAACGCTTTATCACTGATGACATGTTGGACGATGTCGTGGAATACTCGAACCAATACAGTGCTCAGAAGAGTGGACATGTCGCAAATCTATCACGGAAAGAGCTAGAGCAAGTGATTGGAATGTTCTACCGTATGAGCCTCCTTCAGATGGCTGGAGTTCGAGCTTACTGGGAGAACGAGACCAATCATGAACCAGTCAGTGGTGTCATGAGTCGAAATCGATTCCAGTACTTGCTGACTGTACTTCACTTTGTCGATAATTTGGCAATGACCGATGAAGACAAGAAGGCTGACAAGCTATGGAAAATCCGTCCATGGCTAAATATGATGCGAGAAAACTGCTTGAAAGTAGTAGCGCACGAGCACAACTCCATCGACGAGATGATGGTACAATACAAAGGCAAGACGGCCAGCATCAGGCAGTATGTTGCAAACAAGCCTCATCCCTGGGGATTCAAGATCTGGGTGAGAGCTGGAACCGATGGCTTGGTTCACGACTTTGACGTATATCAAGGGGGTGATGGCAAACGCTCAGAACTTGGTCGAGGTGCTGATGTTGTTTTGAAACAACTACAAGATATTCGCGGACAACCTATTCACTGGTGTTCCCCTCCTTGTAAAAATCAAGGAACTGGGAATGCACTATGTTGGCACAGTTTGCAAGAATAGAATCTCTGGCTGCAGGCATGAAGATGAAAAGAAGCTGCGCAAGGAGGGAAAGGGAGCATATGACCATTGCGTTGAAGACAGCCACAACATCATAGCAGTAAGGTGGCTTGACAACAAAGCTGTAACTCTCCTGTCGACGTACACAGGTATTGAGCCGACTGACACCGTTCGGCGATGGGACTCTGCCGTAAAAGACCACCGGGAAGTTGAACGCCCAGCCATCATCAAGGCGTATAATAAATTCATGGGCGGCATTGACTTGATGGACAGCTACCTGTTTTGGCACACCCTCATGATGGCCATCGTGAATGCGTGGTTGGTGTACCGCTGTGAGTACAAACTACTTCAACTGCAAGAGAGGTCAATGATGAAGCGCCAGGTGTTTCAGTCTCATGTTGCCTCTGCGCTAGTGGGGAGGATGGTTGCCAGACCTCGTGGAAGACCATCACTAGAAGATGTCCGTGATGTCATCGTGAAACCTCAGCCCGGAAAAGTGCGCAAGGGACCCGTGGATGATGTCAGGAAAGATGCATATGCCCACTGGCCAGTGAAAGTGCAGAAGCGGGGCAGATGTAAACTTTGCGCAGTGAACAATACTAACACCTTGTGTGAAAAATGCAACGTGAGACTCTGCTTTGTTGAGGAACGTAACTGCTTCAAGTCTTACTATGTGTAGTGCCTGTTACTGGTATTCATATCAGTGATCCAGCAGTGTAAAGCCAAGATGGTTTAGGATAAAAATTTACATGTTCGGGTATTGATACTTTGGGGTCGGGGGTCACTTCAACAAACAAAAGTTTAGAGAACATTGAAAATGCTGTCGATAAATTGTTCATTGGTTTATCCTAAGGGGAAATTGTCATTCATTAGGTTGTTTTCAAATTTCTACTTTGATTTTTCCCAGGAAAATTACACCCAAATTTTGACCACTGAAAAAAAATACATGTATAGGCGGGGAGGGGGGTGCACACGACTCCCCCCCCAGATTTGACCAAGAAGTTGACTATGTACCATTAATTAACAAAATGGATAAAGATTCCTAAATATTTACTTGTACATGTACCTGATTGCGGTATGTATTGTGATCCATATCCACTCAGTTGCAAATAATAAGGTATATGTATGACCCAATGTTATTGTATGTGTCACATTCCGAAAAACACCCTGGGGAGACGAAATGTTTGAAAATAAAACTTGAATGTGGTAGAGCATCTCCAACAAAGCTGTTTCTGCTAAAAACAGATGTTTATGTCATTTACAAGAAGCCTTGGGGTCCTCAGGGTTAAAGCAACAATCTCCAGCATTTCCTTTATCTACAAGGATTACTGAAGCACCCGTTCTATTTTCAGTGTGTTCATTAGCCCTTTTAGTTGTTTCGTGGAGATTCTAGAAAAGGATTCCCATTTCGGCTTCTCGATCCTGCCGTAAAATCCGCTTATAATGCACACGCTGTGCTGTGATCTCCTCATATTAACACCCCTGAAATCCATGGATAACAATGATTTATTTGTAAAATTCCAACCTTCAACATTGAGTTTTTTCCAGAAATGCATGTGTAGAGGCCTCACCTTCAGACTGCAGTCACTTAACCCTAACAGCCCTGAATCCTCCAATTTTAATATGATTTTGCACACATCCTAGGGAGTTAGGGTTAAAGTATATTCTTCCCTTCAACATGACTGTCTTTCACACCATTATAAAAAACTGGTGATGTGTCCCATTCAAATTTTGTCCACTGAATTTGGTATGCATATAGTCAAAAATTCTTTGCGTTCGATCAAAACTTACAGCGTGTGGAGATACAAGTACGCACAACCAACCGATGCCACAGAAACCCGGGCAACAAAGTTGGAACATCACAGTCAAAAGGAATTGCAGGTGAACAAACTGAAACAAACTATTTATCCTAAAGACAATTTTCATCACGAAAATTCCATTTTAAAAATGAAAGTCCCATATAAGAAATATATTACACTACGGGTTTAAACACTTGGAGTCACACTTGAAATAATCAATAAAAAATTGCCAGCTGTTCGTCGTTTCGAAGACTCATTACGGTCCGTCTTCACACAGCTAAGAAACTTGATGTGCACACCATCGCCGCAAAGAGCTGAATGAGAAGAGTTTCAACAAAGGGGGCGCTTGTCACACAACACCCTTTCATCCCCCCGATGCCTACTATACATACATGTACATGTAGGTCACATGACTTGTGGGCACAATCGGTCTATTAAGATATCACTTGCCGGTATAACAAAGTTATACAAAATATGATTGCATGTAAACTTAACTTCATCTCTCCCAGATCAAGTATGTACACGTAACATGCATATTCAGATACCAGTAAATTAGGCTTCAGAGCAAGGCCTGGAGGCCCATCACAAACCTTCCAGTCACAAGTCACCTCACAAGCTATTCAAATGAGTTTGGAAAATAGCACTCCTTTACGAAAATTCACCCTGTGACTAGTGACTCATCTCATGAAAAGACTTACATGTGTGACTGGACTTGTGAACTGACTTTTGAAACGTTCAACTAGAAAATTTGTTTTTTTTTGAGGTATTCGGGGGGTTAAGGTTATATACATTATGTCGGTCACAGAAAAATTTCAGTTGAAAAGTGTGTTCAAATGCAATAAAAACAAGAGAGTACACTGTGTATATAAAGTGAACATTTCAGCACACACAAAGTGTCTCTTCCTGGGCCATCACTGTAGTTGGAAATAACACATGTAAATATGGGAGCCACTGGCTAGGGTCTGCAACTTCTTTCCATAGATTTGTGCGCTACTCCCAGCACATGACTCACTGATTGCAACTATCACACATAGAGTTTTTGTTTTTTAAGAATCTTCAGATGTGACCACTATGAGCCAACAGTTCATGCAAGGTATCCACAGCAAACAGCTGTGACAAGAAATCCCACGTCTTACACACTGTACATGTTACATGTACCTACATGTATGAGTGTGTTTGATATGATCTGTCTTCAAAAACAGACAGTGTTGTAAAGCAGGATGACACATTCAACAACATACAAGTAAAATCACATTCCCGTCCCCTAAACCCCATCCAATTCTCAGATCACATCCAGGGACTTGCTACAATCCAAGTTACATATAAATCACATGTGCAAAAACAGGATGCAACTCTTGGATTGTTATGAACTATAAATCATAGATGTGAATTCTGGTGAGGGACATGAATTTTAAGAAGTAGGTTGTGATCTACAAGCCAAGTTGTTCAACTGCATCCTGCTCCAAACCACGTCTATACCACATACAAAGATCATGTTATTCCTTTCAACGGCACGGGCTTATCAGATGCATGTCGTTGTACCATTTAAAAGAGGATACGGGGTGACCTCGTTGACATGTTGACTGGCCCACTTGGTGGTTCCTCCATGCAGCAGATGACAGATGTGGGGACAGACTTTGCACTCCGGGTGATACCTGCACAGTGTCTGAGCAAACTTGGTCGCCGAGTCCAGCTTGACTCGTTCCAGGTGGCGCAGCAGGGGCTCCACCCTGCAGTCCAGTTTGTCCAAGGCTCTGAGAATGTCGCTCAGAGTCTCGGCGCACTGCTGGCTGTCGGACTTCACGAAGGCATCCCTGCAGCGGTCGCTGAAGCCAAAGAAACTGGAGATGCAGTGTCGCAGATCGTCGCCGTGGGCCAAGATTTGGTCCAGGTCTCTCCGGAGCTGGATGCTTTCTTCAATCAGCTTCAGAGTTCCAGTGCACATTTCATCTTCCTCAGCAAATCCTGCATTTTTGAGAAGTTGGCAGACAACCAACTCAAGGTTAAGATCCCTCAGATACCCCAAAAACCCAGTAGCCAAGCTTCTGCAACTGATATTGTCTTCTTTGAGACAAATACTACATTTTGACATGTCCCAATGTATGGTACACTTGCCCAAATGAGACATGCCATCCATAAACCTCAGTGTGCACTGCTTTAGAAAGCAAAGCCTGTTACTCACTAAACTACCCTTGTGCTCTCACTGTCTGAATACTCAATACTCAAATATAACTCACATCCGGCAAGTACAGATGCATGTAACAAAGTGGACAATATGATAAAAGCATGTACATGTAACATAGTGTAATACTTCTTTACATGTTCAACAACCGAACCATTTGCCAACAGAGTCACTCAAGACTGCAACATCAGCCAGTGGCTATGTACTGAGTATCATTTTCCTGAGTAGATGTACATTTATCAAATTGTTTCATTTACCGGTATTACATGTATATCTAATTTCAATCTGTTGTATTTCAGTTGGGTGGAGAAATGCACATTCTTAAGCAGTCCTTCATTTTAAGAAAATCTCCTCAAATCTCTCAGGAGAGCAGATCGCTCTCCTTAAAATAAACTAATTAACAGAAGTGCAAAAGGAGGTCAAACGATAGTTTATACTCTGGAGTCAACTGTTTCCACTTTCTCTGATGGTTTATAATGTTCTTGGGGCAATTTTGAAATCAATTTAGTTTTAAGTCAGTTAGAAACATGGGTCTACAACGACATCATCTCATATCAGGGCTTGTTTTCTTTTTATTTGAAGCAGAATTTGTATACTTGCAAACTGACGTTACATGTAAGTTTCAACCTACAAATCAACACAGTTACTCATGTCCCTTTAATTTAAATAAAAGTGGAAGTGAACCTTTTTCATCCTGATTTGAGCATTTCTTTCACTCGAAACACTAACAGTATCAATAATTTTGAATAAAAACCAAAACCTAATGGGGATTTGAAAGTTTAAACTACATTTTACCTTTTTTCAATTGACTGTAATTGCAGACTGTAACAAACTCACCTCAATCAAAATGGGAAACATCAAACCGACACACACGTACGAACATAACAATATTTATGTATGATTATGGTCCGACATGCTGGGGGGTTTCCTGCTCAAATTCAGTGGTCACACATGCTGTATCTATGTACTAAGCAACGTTTTCATGACAACCAAAAACTCATGGCATACCACTTTCTGCTTAAGCGCCCCGTAAAGAAGATTGATACAGATTGGCTCTTTTATCACTGAAAACTTTTTAGCGACCAATAAAAACACGTAACAGATTGCACCACATACAGCGAAAATGAGTGCGACATACATGTACATGTGTAAGTATCGGTACGTACAGTGTACATGCTACATGTGCGAACGAGCAGGGCGGGCTGGCCGGTACAAAAGCAGGCTCACAATGATCGTATTCATACAATAATTTATAGGTCTACGTATGAAAGTCGCGACAGTCCTTTATTGGTGAAGTTATCCACTGTTTTTTGTCATATGATTCATTATTTGTTAAGTGCCCTTAGATTTTTTGAGGAGCGTGATATTTTACGCTCCTTTGGGAGTGTTGAGGAGCGTGATAGGAGCGCCTGCGCAATCGAGCTCCTTAAAAATGATGGGCTGCTTAAGACGACTTACCGTAATTACCATTATAAGTGCAAGTCATCCACCTTCTACCTTCCTGGCATGAAATCTTGACGTATACTAAAACAATTGCCTTTAGAATATTAACTTCATCAAGACCACCTCAATTCTATGCTGGTATCTGTACAATAAATGTACATGAATGCATCTTTGACAATGAACCTTTTTTTCAGGGTTGAAAGATTCATTCTAGTAAGCGAAAAGATGCATGAAAGAAACGTTTTTAGATGGTAAGGCCCTGTAATAAAAAGAATTCAAGCCAGAGTGTCATACCTGAAACCTCAAAGCTGCACTCAGTCACTACACATTCACTGTCTTCGACATCGCGCCCCACCCTGCAAACATGAAAGGTGTAGGTGAACCCTGGGCGGAGATTTGGAACTGCATGTCTCTGCATATCAGGCATGATGCGGACAGGGAATCCAGGGACACATGGGCAGGTCTTGATGACACACTGGGGCCACTTGTGAAGGTCCTTGAGGATGGCTGTGGTCCCAGAGAGCTCATAGGCCAGCGATTCACCTGAGGGAGGAAGCAACATACCAAGGCACGTTGACAATCTGAAGGCCGAGACACCAACTTTGGCGATAGGACGTCAAAGGATAAATTACATAGAACTGACAGGCCACAGGGTGTAGTTAAGAGGATGAAACATGGTGGGAAAGTAGGCTCATCACTAAGACCTACTAGTATTGTACACATGAACGGAGACCAGCTTGAACAAGAGAGGATGACCCCAAATTCTTAAGGGGTGAACAGGCTGGCAAACCACGGTAAAATATGGACATTGAAACTCGACTAATTGGTGGTGGGGATCATTTCATGTTGCTCTCTTAACCAACAAGGGCAATCTTGCCAACAAATCCAACCTGTGGGGAATGTTGTAACTGCCAAACACACTCCTTACCATGCTTTCATGTAGATGGTCATTAACCCTAACCCCCTAGGAACCACTGAAATCATGCATATGCTCGTTAGATTCAGAATGGTTAGGGTTAACGGTTTTCAGGACATACATGTAAGGACTTCTGACATGTGTTACCCTGTATACACGATGCAATCCACATGGTTCCTCTGACGGCTCCAAGAGATAGTTAAAATACACAAAAATGAAATCTACAGAACTTTGACTTGTGGCATCCATGCATGACTTGTGGCATCCATGCAAATATTTTCGATAGCCCCGTCTGGCCAACCAACAAGAGCCAGTGATAGAAAACATTGCATATGCATATACATGCACATGTACACTCCGGTTTGCCTGGCAGTAACATGTACCATTAGCAGCGTATACGGAAGCCACTTTTAGTGGTATGCGGTGCATAACCCACTCTGTCTAGATGCATGACAGAAACTAACTATGCACACTTGCACAGTGGAAAGTAGTCACGTTCAAAAACATTACAAACGTAAAAATAAAGGGTGGAAATAGCACAGGCAGTCAGGCACCTACATGTACATGTACATAAATACATGTAGTGTACATGTACACATATACATGTACCGGTAGGAGCTAGGGGTTAGCGGCTAGCAGCTACAGCAACTTCCCACTAACATGTATACATGTAACTGAGAAGCCCCAGCCAGTTGATTTGGACAAGTACTGGTACATGAATAAATTGTACTGGAACGTGTACATGTATGTATATGTATTGTACTGAAGGTGTCTTGCACTACTCAGAATACAGTCACTATTTTAGAACTGCAAGAAGTTTTCGTTTCAAAAAGACGAATAAAAGGAACCAAAAAATAAATAAATGAAAATTTTTACAAAATGGAAAAATGAAAGAGAGAGTTGGAACAATTCATACAAACAAGCCATTCCATGGATGAATTAACTACGCGTACAAATATGAAACACATAATTGGCAAATTTGTTAAACAGGATGAGAGTCACAAAATTGGCACTGTGTGAGGTCTAAGCTTGGCAATGATCTGGTCAGTAATGTAGCTCTGGTTCCATTTGAGAGAAATAACACAACGAAAGATGGCACTGTATAAGGGCATTCCTCCTCAGGGAGAGTAGCAGCCCTGTGTACAGCGCCACCAAGTGTTAGATAGTGTCATCCAGGCTTTTTCCCATCTCTTTAACCACTTGCTGCCGGGTGGATTTTTTTGAGCAAAACAAGATGCTGGGTCCTTTTCAAGATTTTCCGTTTTCAAAATTCTTCAAAAATTAATCATTTCATTTAATGGCCGCTTATACCCACATGAAGGACTCTTTGGGCACTACTTTAAAGCTGACAGGTAACTTTCATTGACTCCTGAATATTTCAGCCAGGCCTGCAGCCTTGGAAAAAGAGCCCAGATTGTGCAGTGTTACGTAAGATTCTTTTCTTTCCGGAACCGGCACAGTGCACTGCTAACCTCTTTTCAATAGGGGCCAGATTAGCGTGCAGAGGTGCTGTGTGGCTCATCCCTGCGGTGGTGGAGAGCTTTTGTCCCCGGTGGTAATCCGCTCGCTCTAAATGCCTCAAACAGTGGTAGACTGTTTCACAACAAGGCTGGATTATCTCCACTATTGAGAGCGAAAAAATATGGGTAATGCCCAGCAGCTCAGTCTTTTGTGCCGAGCACAGTCTTTTGTTATAAGGCCCAACTCTTTTGTCCCAGTTCCTGGCTCCCTGGCTCTGCACATAAAGCCTATGTACTCGAAAACAGGTCGCCCGGCAGGAAGTGGTTAAGGAATAGTTTCACACGACAGGTACAGTTAAATGCACTTTATAAACTATTCTAGAAATACAGACCGTTATTTGCAACTACCATTTACAACAAGTTACATGTACATGTACTTTTGTTAAAAAAAGGGACTTTTACATGTGTAAATGCAAGATAAGAAACAACCAAGCTCACAACACATCAAACAAATCTTTCATGCAAAAAGCAACTGTAACACAATAATTTAGTACGACTGGCAAAAGACTGTGTACATACCAGACTTTTTAGAAAACCCTGCACCACATCCAAATGAAAATACATACATGTAAATTTCAATCAAGACTTGAACATGCTGTACAAAGGGTAAACAAGGTTTGGGAGGGGTCAGGTTAAGGCAGACGGAGGGGTAGGAGGAAGGGAAGAATTACTATGGAAACAACAAATGCATTTAAAAATCATGCTCAGTTGCAGGGTTAAGACAAATTCACCAATTAAAATCTTTGAGATTTGGATGTTCGGACATGTAGACTGATCAGAGAAGATACAATTCAAGTAGTCATGTTGCCACCATTCCCCTGTGGCATTTCATGTGCATGACAGTATGGTAATATACCTGTGCAAGTATGTGTACAAGTACGTGTACCGCCACCATTTCAACTTCTACTCACTAGTGCACTGGCTTTAACAATAACAATGTGCACATCAGCTACATGTAATTACATGTAGCTACATGCACAAAGTCATTTTGACAGCATAATGTCAAGATGTGTTGCCAGCATGACTACAAACACCGAGAAAATCTAATGCTTTTTGCATAGGGGCCACTTTAATTGTGCAGGTGTATCTGCAAACCCACAATGTGTCTTGATTACATGAACAATAGTTTCTTCACTTTCACAGCTCTTCTCCACATGCTCATAAATGCATGCAAACTAACTTGGAGGTGGGCTGTACATGTACATGGGAGGTGGAATATACATAAAGTACATTAACATTTCAAAGTGGGATGAATACCCAAACTCTTAAAAAGCTGGAATGTATCGAAAAATGGGATTATGTAAAATGTCCTATCTGCCAAAAAATAGTGTGCTTTTCTACTCACTTAGTAGTTGTATGTCGCTGTCATTGTTGAGCGGCCAGAAGGCCTTCACACAAGGCCTGATGTGAAGTTTCCTGCTGCAAAAAATGCAAGTCAGTGCTGCAGCCGCGCCTAGTACAACTACGGCACCTACAAGCCCATACACCCAACTTGGTGCACCTGTGGTGGACACACAAAATTTTGCAGTCAAACTACACATCATTTCCAACCGTAAAACAAGCTCCAGAAAGAGAAAATATGAAGAGATTTTAAGACTGCTTGATTCATGTACTAGTACACGCACCAGTGCACGTATGTACATGCCTACATATACATGTAAAACATAAAGAAAATTCAAGGCATGGCCTCATTTACATTAAAATTACAGAATAAATATACATATTTTTTGTAAAATTTACCAAACACATGGCAACCAGCAGTGGCTGCTATTAGGTGAGGGTTACAGGAAAAATGAGTAGAAAGAAAAAGGTAGCATGTTGTGCTCAACATGAAAAGGGCTCGATGCACTAGAACTACATGTATACACGTAGGACATGTTGGGAGGTTATCTGGACAACGGGATGAGAAAGAGAGCTGCAGACACAGTAGTGCATGGACAGAAACCTGTAGAAGTGTACTGTGGATCTACAAATAGCTATGGGGATAGCAATTGATGAAATAGTGAGGGAGGTACCCAGTACATACACTGTACATGTAGGCAACAGTATCTGGAAAACGGGATGAGAAAGAGAGTTGCAGAGCACAGTAGTGCATGGACAGAAACCTGTGGAAGAGTACTGTGGGTCTACAAATAGCTACATGTACATTACATTGCATTTGAAAGTTAACGCTGCGAAAAGGAATAGGAAAAATGCGAAAGCAATTTGCATTCACATTCACATTTTGACCACAACTTTTCCCCCCTGCGAATTCGCAGTGAATTGGTTGTAAGAGGGGCCAACGACATGCAAAAACAGTGCAAAAACGGTGCAAATCTTTTGTGAACATGACGTGAAACATTTGCGAAAAAATTGAGAAAAAAAAACAGTGTGTGGAAACAGTGTGAAAATTTTGCGGAAGCGGTGCGAAAGGTTCCAAAAATTATGCGGAAACTTGCGAAAATGAGAAGAAATGTGCAGCGAAAATGCTCCACACTTGTTACTATTATGCAGTGAAGGGTGCATTACACAGGCTGCGCTGTGCTTGGGGCCGTCGGGGCCAACTCACCATGTGGAGTGTGCTGTTGTAGTTACGTACACATTTCATGCGCTCCGTAACTTCATGACTTGGGGACTCCCGTATAATTACTCAAAATTTGGACAACTTTTTTGAAATTTACGGTAATCCAAGAAAACAACTGCGCCACGGAGCGCGGCTCACCATGGTGAGCACGTGCTTGCAATCGTGCTGCATGGACAGCCGAGTGCTTGTCTGCAGTTATAGTGATGGCGTGATCGCTACTACTAGTATCAGGCTACAGGTGCCCAACAGCACACTCCACGCGGTGATTCAGCCCCAAGCGCAGCGGACTCTCCACTGCACAACAGTCATGCGTGTGGGGCCAGTGTGGAGCATTTCAATGCGCCAAGCTTCTCGTTTTCACAAATTTTTCGCACAATTTTCACACCTTTTTCGCACTGTTTTTGCACACTGCTTTTTTTTAACAATGTTTATGCAAATGTTTCATGCCACATTCGCAAAAGTTCGCACCATTTTCGCACGTCGTTCGCCCCTTTCACATCAAATTTGCTGCTAATTCGCAGGGGGGGGAAGTTGTGGTCAAAATGCGAAATTCGAAAATTTTTTCAAGTTTGAAATTTTTTCCATTCCTTTTCACAGCATTATCTTTCAAATGCAATTTACTGCACATGTACAGAACTAGTGTGGGAAGTCATAGGGCAGAAGATAAGACCAAGATAAAACATGATAAAAAAAACTGCTCTTTTAGGGTTAGCAGACTGTTGTGTGCAGATTACACAGCACTGCATGTACATGCAGCTCCTGTAGACAGCATATTACTCACCTTTTGAATGCTGGCACTTGGTTCCAGTGAAGCCTTCCATGCACTCACACTGATACACATCCAATTCAGTCTCCTGGCAGGTTCCATTGTTGAGGCAAGTCTCCTCACATAGCCACAGCTTCATTCCTGCTCAAAAAATGAGAACCAATGAAAGTAACAGTGGCAGGACTGCAGACACCCTATATCCAATAGAAGGTATGTTATGAAGGATCCAGCCAAGGTACATGTAATTGAATATCTACTCACTTGTCTCACAATTTGTTCCTGTGAAATCCTCCGTGCACTGACAACTGAAACTTCCATTTTCATTGTCTAAGCATGTTCCACCATTCCTACACGACGGGTTGTTGCTACAGTAGCTCAAATCTACCAAATACATGTACAGTACAACTGCAGGTTTAATCTGGCACTCCTTTTTTGTAAAGCTGGACAAAAGATACATACATGTAGTGTGGGCTTTCCAACATATTAATCAAAGAAATTACACACCTATGTGTAAATCCAACAAAACTTTTGGTAGATTATAAAGTACATGTATCTGGACAAGGTGCCAGAAAAATGAAGGTAACTTCTACTCACTTGTCTCACAATCTATTCCTGTGAATTCCTCCGTACAGTGACAGGTGTAACCTCCATTTTCACTGTCTGCACATGTTCCACCATTCCGGCATGGCTGGTTATTCCTACAGTAGCTTAAATCTACCAAAGGCAATACAAATTAGTCTCGATCAGGCACTCTTTATGTACATGTATGGCTAAAAAATAAATAGCACAGGCTTGCAAACCAATCAAATAAGTCATGCTCTCTAAGGTACATGTACATGTAGCTTTTAACTACAGTACTACAGTGTAAGATTAATTTCCACACCATCAATTACTGTATAAGTATGCACACTGTTAATAGCAGCATCGCAACACAGAAAATGAGAAAAGGCTTATTATCAATACACCTGTATGTACCCACCTACAATGCACATGTACACGCACAGGTGGAGTACCATCGGTCAAAGAAAGCATTGCACAGGATTGTTCATTGGTCGTTTCTACACTCGTATACATGTACATGTACATCATTCAAATTCACGAGCACTTATACACTCAGCAGCGTATTTGCCAGTATCAAGATGGAGGCTATTTCTACTGTTCTGAAACATCTATGCACTGACAAGAGGCTTCCAACACAAAGATTCTTCAATTACTGCTAATAAGATGGATATTAAGTTGAAATGTTTTGAACATGTTGAAGAGTGCAGCAAAGAAAAAGGATTAAATAGTACACATGTACGGTACATGTACTTTGTACATAATCGGACTTCACTAATAATGTACAGGATCAGAGGTGAACAAAGGAAATAATAGAATGTACATGTAAATATGGAGGACGGACCTTCGTGCCTGAAATTTGGAAAGCTCATTCATGGTTCACACGTCTTTTTTATAGCCCCATGGAAGTCGATGAGACTGCTTTTTGAAAATGCTGAATAATTTATGACATTAATTCTGTAGCTAGAGATAACCACCACCGGTGAATGGTTCATGAATCATCGATGAGGATCTTGCTTGGCCAAACCATGTGAAAATGTACACTGTACGTACATGTATGCATGGTACATGTACGTTGTACATGTACATTAATGGTACACATAACATGACAATACACACTTGACATTTTTGACAGTGAAATACGGAGTATATGAAACACAAAGGGTACACAAACAACTGGACACCACATGGAAACTGGCACCCACTAGTTCACATTAAATTGCCACATTGCTACCCAGTACATGTACTGTACATGTACATATACTGTACACATTGTTTAGACCTCAACTGTTTTGAACATTTCCACGGGCATGGTATAATTAAGGCACTGTTGAGCTACGTTAACAGTATTTAATACACATGGATAACAGTAATTTCACAGGTTTAAAAATAATTGCGTGCTGCTCAACCCCATAATACATTGGGCATTGTGTGCAGGAATATATGTAGAACTTGCACGTGCCCTCATCTTGAGAAATGAGAATGACATCTGCTCTTGGCCAATGGGAACATCTTAAGGTAGAGGTAAATGTACATGTATCAAAGGCTGACCGCACACCGTAGTTCTTGCAAATAGTACAAACAAGTTAACAACAATCATTTTGAGTTGAATGCAATGGTATTCATGTAAACAAGGTGAAAGCTCGGACATCTTCATGGTATTACTAACAATATTTTTTCAAACAAGCCCACCAGACATGGAAAAACTGGAGTGTGACCATGGTGACTGATCAAAGTCAGTGAGTGAAATCCATTTGTATACATGTACATGTAATGCGGAATAGCCCAAACCAGAGCATAATGAAAGTGTACATGTAGGGTACATGTACGTGAGTATGTACATGTACATGTATTACTTAGAGGACAGTAAAAGTACTGGGCACAGTACGTGAAACATGAGCACTGAAGGTTGCACATGCATACAAGAACATACATTGTACAAGTACATGTTAATGAACAGGACAGTTGCTGCAAGACGAATGATTTGCATGCATAAACATGACAAATGAAGGCGAGTTACTAGCGCAGTACATGTAATGTTGGCTTTCTTCCAAATGCACACGTGCACATGCAGATGTACATGTACCATACTGGTAAGCAGTGGGTATGTACATGTACGAATGCACAGCATTGTGCTTACCGGTATGGTACATGTACATGTAAAACTGTGGATTATTTTGAGAATACTTTTCAGAAGAAAGCCATGAAAAGTCACAGCTATGCTACCTCCCACCACAGCTTTATTTAAGCAAAGGAAGCCCTGCCTATCATGACTATCATGTTGCTGTAGATCAACGGGTGGTCAGGTCAGGCAGAGTTGCAAGAGCCCAAGTGATCAATATGACACACAAATACAGTACATGGGTATGAACATGTAAATGTATTGTACATGGCCTTACCAAACAGGACTTTGCATTTCACTGTACAGGTACATGTACATATTTTTTTTATTTTATCGCAGGCGGCACAACACAAAGAAAACAAAAGATGTTTCCCTGTCCTCACTCATGGTCATGTCAGTCTTAAGATCTTTGGACGGTTGGGCTCAGTGCCTTAATAATAGTCTGTGGGAGGAAATGCGATGCCCCCCTTTCGATGGTATAGCAAAATATGACTGCTAGGGTTAATAAACTCACTCCTTTGTTGAAACTCAAAGTTTCAGACATTTTATGCAGTGATTTATTAATAGTTTGTCACAGCAGACCATAATATGCGTATGATGCATGAATGAATCAAAAACAATGTGCTAAATTACCTGAGATACGACTATGCCATCAGCTGGTGTAAAAAGGGTTAGTGTGTACATGCAGGGGTAGCCTGTGTGGATATTAAGGTACAGTACATCATGCATATTGATTGCTATATGCTTAATGGAACAGCAACAACAGAAATCAATTATGAACACAACATACAAAAACCTTGCCTTGGACTGAAACTGCAGGTGCAGGTTTTAGTGAATATAGCATATACAGATACATGTATCATACATGTACAGGTAAATGTATGCACATACTGGTACATGTAGATTTAAACCACAGTTTAACCCTAACAGTCCTCAGTCCTCCAACAGGTGAAGGATTGGGGACTTTTAGGGTTAAGACTATCAGATTATCTAAACTGTACACATAGGTTCAGAGAGCACAAACTTTCAGGAAAACGGAAAACACATCCCCGGTGACCAGTACAATTAATACTTCTCGTTGGTACATTTTTCCTGTTATAGGTTTAACCATACAAATGTCAAATTCCTCATACATGTATGACAAATTTCATCAAACGAAAGGTACTTCTGTCCCCTGTCAATAAGGGAGGGCGAAATGCAGAAAAAACTGACTTTAAGACTGTCCTCCCACATACCTTTTGGCTTATACTAAAAATGATTGTCAAAACCAAGAAGAATCACCTCCCACCAATAAAAAGAGGAAAGACGGAGCATATGTTTCAAAAGAGTTTGAACTTTCAGTTCCTGAAAAAGAAGCAACCCCCATCCTCATGCTGGATATGCCACTGTTTTTGAGATACAGGGGCAGGGAACAAAGCAATACGCATACCTTCATCACAAAGCGATCCTCCCCATCCTACAGAACAGATGCACTCTCCTGATGAGGTGTTACAGTGACCGTGCATGCAGTCGGGGATACATTGCCTCAGGTTACACAACTCCCCATCCCAACCACTGTCGCAGCTGAAACAGCAACCGACAGACATGTTACAAACTGAAAGGCAGTGTTGCTGTCTTTGAATCCATGTATATACTGTACATGTACATGTGTATGACCCAACCTAACAACCTAGCGACCGTTGCAATATACATGTACATGTACACTTGAACCTGTTTCAAGATAATCTGTTGTGTGATTATACAATGAAAGTGTACTTACATGCATTCTCCGTGTGTTTCACAGTGACCATTAGAACAGCCTTCCTTGCAAATGACAGGTGTAGGTTCTGTAAAAAGATAGACAAAAAAGACGTCACTGACAAACCCTACATCAGACGTGTATGGTTATACATGTAGTACATGTACTGTACTTTGGCTACTGTGTAGGTTGCTTGGCAATGGAGAGTGAGATGCAGGTTAGCAGTATACATGTAGGTATAATCTGCAATAAGATCACAGCTATCTCTTCTCAATGCTCACAGGGCCCTATACGTACAGTCATTTGCAAAAGTTTAGGACCACCCACAAAAAATGCATCAACCATATGCTGCTGGGTTTAATTTGAAGTTGCATGCTGAATCTCGGGAAATTTTCAAGATTTTCCGTTTTAAAGTTCTTCCAAAATTCCACACAATTGACTGTCTGGTGGCTACTCTAATCTGACAGATGACATCTATTGACGCTCGAGTATTTCACCCAGGCATGCCACCTTGTATAAAAAGAGAGCCCAGATTGTGCGGTGTTACACACATGTACGTAATTTTCTTCTGTTCCCGAAATTGGCCCAGTACGCTGCTGGGTTTTTTCAAATGCGGACCAGATTAGCATGCAGCGGTATTGTCTCGCTCATCACTGGAGTACTGGAGTGCTTTTGTCCCTGGTGATAATCCACTTGCGCTGAATGCCACAAAGAGTACTATAGTCTTACAAAACAATGACAGATTTCCTCAACTACTTGCAACTGAAAAAATGCTGGCAATTTCCGGCAGCCCTGTCTTTTGTTCCAAGTACGGTCTTTTGTTACAAAACCATCCCCCCCATCTGATTTCAAGCACCCCGGCTTTGCGTAAAAAGCCAACATCTCTGGTTCCAGACAAACTGGCAAAAAGTGGTTAACCTGAAGAAAATCCAAACTTAAACCAATCAATCATGGCAATTTTCGTTTATTTTCAATGTGTAACCTTAGTAGTTTGGTTAAACAGCCTTTTGACTTCCTTTCCATAATTTGAAATGTTAACACTCTGATATTTAGTGTGCCCTCCTTTATTTCTGATTACTTAAACTATTTTTTTTACCCATGCTGCCTTACAGACAAAGTATTATACAAAATATACTACCTTTGCAAAAATTTCATTCAAATGGGCATACATGTACATGTATAGCACTACTGTGATGTATGGCACAGACAGTGACAGAAACAGGTGGTCTTAAACTTTGGCTAATGACTGTACTCTTGGATGGAGTAAGGCAAATTAATGTAGTAAAGCATCTTCCCTGAGGAATGCAAGCACCATGGGTAATCATGGGGTTTAAAGCCTACAAACGGCACGTCAGTTGAACACCAGAACCACTGGCCCACGGTGTTTTAAAACAACCTTCTGATTATTTCTAACAAGAGGGGGTGACAATAACTGCTCCATGTATATGTACATGGCTGATGCACCCATGTAGCCTTGAACTTTAAGTGACCACAATAACAAAACTATATGTCAGATGGAGTCGAAACTTCACCTTTGAACTCATAATGCAAGTTACAAACTGCCTCATCACCACTATCCTGCCCCATACCTGGAGTCGGTGGAATAACACCCACGCAGTCACACATAGATGCATTGGCTGCTGGTGGAGTGAACCCGATGGGGGCGCAGGTGTTGGGACAGATCCCATTATTAATGCACGCTGGGACAATGGACATTTCGGTCCTTCCCGACTCAGCCAGAGTGTAGGGATCTGGACAGGGGGAACAGGGTAAGCAGCTGCTACTATGGCAGAAAGTGCTGGATAATGGAGAAGAAAAAAAAACAGTCAATGACATGACTGTCTATTTACATGTACATGTACAATAAACCTCATTCAAATCATGACAAATGAAGTCAATGTCCATTCCCTCTCTTGGGTCATGAATGTACAAATTGGCCAGCACATTTTTTTATCCGGTAAAGCTCAGCATATACAGAAATTTATCACGGCACTGGTTTGGGTCTAATATATATGCACATGAACAACCTGAGCTAAATTTCTGACAGCTAGTAGCAAATGCTTCTTATCTAGCGTGGTGAGCCAAATTCAGCTGGGAACCAGTCAGAAGATATATACACACATGCATGCCTGACATTGTCAATGCTTGTGGCTGGCTTCCGTTTCTTTTTTTGCTTTTACAGGATCACTGCAATTCAATTTTTTAATGCAAAATCTTTAAATTCACCTTTTTATTTTGATAAAGTTCACTTTCAATATTTATTCCACCATTTTAAAGGTTTCTTCCTGCCTTTTGGGTTTTTATGTTGAGTATTTCCACATTTGTAAGTGAAAGTGTGATGTCATCTCTCAAGTAAAATTGGTTTGTGCACAAAAGCTGCTAGATTTGCAATATTTTTTCTGACCTGAATTTCTTTTTCTTCGGTGATTTATTGTTGTGTACGTTCGAAGTATTAAGCCCAGTGCAACCCTTTCTTAGATGTGTTTCAGAGAGTAAATTCTTTAAAATACAGTACACGTACACTACCAGTTCTTCCCTGAATGACATCAGGGTTCTCAGCTGTCAAAGAAAGCATGGGCAATTATAGGTCTATAAAATGTGCACTTTTCAAAACATCTAACCCCCCAAAAAGTCAAATAGGTTTCATCCCGAGAATGAAGCAGCAGAAAAAAAAGGGCGTCTACAAAAAAATTCATTGATGCTACCCATTATAAGTACATGTACATGTAAGGTACGCATCTATATGTACATGTACTTAGCAGGTACCGGTAGACGTAATGAACTTTTTGTAGACACACTTTTTAGAGCAACTATACACTCTTTTTCAGCAGGTTTCATGCGACGGTGTTACATGCGCACTACACATGTATGCTGATGGAACATCAAAGTGTGGGCATCACATGTCCACCTACACCAACCTCCTCTTCAGAACTCACCCAGGACGGCATTCTCTCACACAACTCCAATCCTCTGGCGCCTCTTTGATGTATATGGGTGGGCAGGCAGCCAGCGCTCGGTGTTTTGCTATCATCGTTACCATCAGTATGCACATTTGCAAGTACATTTTGTACCAGGGTCCTTTTCGCACACACTTATAGATGGAGAGAAATTAAAAAAATGTATGATGGGTTAATTTGTATCAGATAATTCAGTTCACTGTAAAATTTTAGGACTGTTTTTTACAAATGGTACATGTGCAACTGCACCTGTAACAAAGAACAGAAATTGCAAGCGGGATTACGAGGTACATGTATCTTTATTTGGAGATAATGTACATGTAATGTACAATGTACATGTACATACAGTGTACGCATATTCATGTTCCAGTTGTCTTTGTGTTCCTTCCTCCATGATGCCACATTTTTTTTCAAAAATCAACAATCTGTAATTTGCATGAGTAATACTGTAGTTGTAATGTTTGTACACAAACATACAGGCATGACAGGTGTAGGCCTATTACATGTATGTACATGTATTGGTAAATTCCAATACTGCCCAGTGTTGATCTGTTTCCAGCCACCAGAAGAGGCCTTGTATATGTGCATGCTTTAAAAAGCACCCTACAAGAATTTCATGTACACGTACCTGTAAATTGTTGGAATTTACAATGAACTTAAAAAGGAGGAATTTCCAGTGGGTATCAGTCACAAAACGAGGGTTTTACATACAGACATAAGGGACACTAGGTTGCAATTTCAACTCAGAAAGGATACATGTAGTTTGGTTCAAATGGGAGTGATATGGAAACTGTGCCTAACACACTACCCGTACATGTACATGTATATGTACTAGCACGTCTGTAATTCTTCAGTCCATGTACATTGTACATGTACACGTACATGAGAACAAAGGAAATACCCCATACATGTAAGAACACAACTTTAAGGGTGTGTACCCCATTGTGATGTGGGATGTGATTTTGTGAACATTGTCAGGGATATAAACAGCATCCCTCGGGTTTTCAAAACGTCGCATCCCACATCACCTGATCACATTAATCAATTGCTAAGGGTACATGTACATGTACTTGTACAATGCATGCTGGAAAACTAATATCTGTGTCAGGCATACAAGTTAAACATTGTGTAACTTACAAACAACATTCTGTGGGATGTGCATGACATCGTACGGTACTGTACAAACACACTGAACCCGTAGTTGGGGCACTTGATACCCATAGTGAAATTTCTGACAATACACACACTGTACATACATGAATGTACAGTACCTTAGCGTACATGTACAGAACAGTGTATGCGCGTAACGTCCAAAGTCTGACATTTGAAGCTTTTCATGGTCAGACGGTTGGGATATGGTAGCAAGTAAACTAGATACAAGTAGGTTTGCGGCAGCACCATGCCTACAGTATATCTTTTTTTTGTGGGTTCTGAAAAGTTACATGTACATGTACATGTAACATCCTCTCCATACATGAACCTCATCACTGCCTCCTACACGCCATAAGCTGCCTCATGAGGCCCACATCATTTGACCCTCTGCAGTCTCCTGACGACAGACAGAGCATACTGTTTGAAATGTTGAGTACAGGTACATTGTACAACCGGTTCTTATCAGAACCCCACATACTCAAAAAAAAGAGCATCCATGGTGCCAGCACACTGTACCAGTATCTAGTTTACATATTAAAGTTTATTCTGATTTTTCCCCCCAAATGAAGCAGGAAAAGAGCATCAGATTGTTCTACTTCCGCAGCATAAATATCATTAACATGACTTGCACAAAACTGGAAGCGAAAGGAAGTACAGTACATTGTAATAAGGTTTCGATTTTCAGAACCGGTTTTGTGGGGGTTTGAATGTGGAGGTACATGTATGGACAATGCAAAATGAAGCATATTCGGATGGGAGTTTACATTTAATTTGAAAAACGTGTCAAGAAAACTTTTCAAAACTTAGAAAATGTGTAAATGTCCCTCCCTTACCACAGTGTCATCGAAAACTTTAGACGTCATCGAAAACTGTAAACACAACAAGCCGTATACAATGTATATACATGTAGTTGACACAAAGTTCCAGTGATGAAATCATGGTACATATACATGTACATGTGTGTTCCTTTGATATGACCGAGCAGGGTGTGTTCTGAAAATCAGATTACATTTTACAGGCACAATAAATAATATTTACAATAAATATGGTACGAACGCCAGATTGCGATCGTGAAACCTCTGGTTCCATTTAAATGTTTGACAAACTTTGTAAATGGATTTGGAACTTTTTTCATTTAAACATTTTAATGTGTTAACGTCCCACCCTTCAACATCATGTGCTTACTACAGTATTTGTGTAACTTCAGCAATAAAAATTCCATGTACATTTAAGTTCATCAAACGTAATTACGTGCTGTGCAGTAGTTTTTTTTGGTTCATCAAGGTGGTATAGTTGAAGGTCCATCACAATCAAATGCCAGGGTGTGCAATGCTATTAAAAGCCAAATGCGCAAATACTTTAAATTTTAAAAGCAGTACATGTACACTCTAAGAGTAAATACATGTACAGCATTACTTTCTTTTTGACAATAGGTAATTAATTGTGCGTGTAGTTTCAATTTTGAAACTGTGATTTAAAAAAAAAAAAGCAGATGTAGTGAAAGAAGTTTGAATGTACATGTACATTGGCATACATGGGTACACATGTACACGTACAGGTAGTAATGCACCAAATACAGTGTACATGTACATGTACATAAAACACTGGTGGATGTACATGTACCACTCCAAATACGGTAATTAATCTGGAGGACTGTCTCAATATGACAGATTGTGTAAAACTTACACTGTACTTGTACACATACATTGTACCGGTACATACTGTACATGCGGTATGGTACATAAATGTACCTACATGTACACGTACAATGTAGAGTATACATGATATGCTTGAAAAAGACATACACATGTACAAGTACATTGTACAATGAATATAAAATGTGCACTGTTTACAGTCAAAGTCCATGGCGACTGTGCAAATAACAATGCAATACATAATGTATGTATATGTACATGTACCGGTACGCTGCGTGAATGAACAGGACTATCAGATTACGGGTTTTTCTGAACATTACAAATGAAGCAGTTTTTTTTACACTAACTGTATAGTCTGCATGCACATGAATGTACTGCACCATTCTTCAAATCAACAGACCATGACTCCATGTACGGTACACCTTACCCATGATCTCTGCGCATAATTATGAATATCTGAATCCCTCTGCTGGAGGGATGCCCATCGTAGTACTCCCATTGTTGCAGCTGCAGTGCAGTGGATGACTTACATGTACATCTACAGTGTGTGTATCGTGAAGATGTACCGAGAATCTGAAAAGAAATCAGTAAAGCACGATTTCAATATTATCAGGAAGGATCTGGTGCGATGAAATAACTTGTCATTTTACCCTACCCTAGGCCGAGTATAAAATCATATGAAAATCATAGGATTTACTGGTAGCCCTCCCACACGTACATGTGCACATGTACATGTAGGTTTTAACAGCGATTTTCATTCCTGGTACATGTACCATGCAATTAGGGAGTTCAAACTTTAAAATCCATATTAGACCACTTAAAACTGTTTTCGGATTTACATACTGCCTACTAATTTTCACGCCCGCCCTCAATTTTTTAAGTGTACGTACATGTAAATTTTTTCCCCCAAAATGTACGGTGTATTTTCCAGGCATAGTTTTCAACATCAATAGGCACATGCAGTCACGTTGGCTTCACACACAAATTACAGCAAAATGACCTCAACAAAATGTTTTGTGCGCAGAAATGAAAGTGCCACAGCCCATGGCTACATGTACACCCATACATGTACATGTACTTCTACAAGTGTGGATATCATTTCTTTGTTCTCCTGGGGTTAACGTTACTGGGGGAAAAAGCTCCTCTTTCTCCCACTAACTACTCCAAGCTACGCAAAAAGTTTTAAGATTTGCTGGACAGTTCCTCTTCATTTTGCTACAGATGACTCTAAACCCGAAATGCCTCTGAAGACGTACATGTATTTCCGAGAGAATTGCTGTGTGGACGTGCGCTAGTCCACACGATGCCATCACACCTTACATAATGTGGACCTCTTTTGTGCAGATGTCCACACTACAGTACATGTACATACATGTATAACTGTATGCCACCCCTACATGTGAGAGCGTGATGCGTTCTCATGACTACCCTGTACATAAAGACAAACATTGTGGACTTTCAGGCTCCATGCCAGTACGTGTAAATGCCCCACACTGACTGCATGGAAAGAATTCTTTGCTGTCACAGCATTTTGTGGTACATGTACTGGATGGTTTGTACTTAAAAAGATGGATGGCAGGTCTACATGTACATGTACACATGAACATACATACATTGTGCCAGTAGTACATGTACGTACATGTACATGTAGAAACAGGTACCAGTGGGGCAGCTACTGGCAGACTGGTATACATACCGGTAACTTCTTAAATTACTGCATGGACAAAATGGAACCCTCAAAACTGTTCTATTTGGCAATGAAATTGAAATGTACACTACATGTAGGACTGACATGTACCGGTAATTTTCAAAATGGCAGTGGGCTTCACAACTGTTTTTCCCACTGATCATCTTTGGATACTTACCAATATCCTTCAAAATGACTGAAAGCTCCTTTCTATAAGAAATATGCAAGACAGAAGTTCTCTATTCTAATAAAGTCAATGGCTTGCAGGAAAGTCAATGATTCCAAAGGTTCCTGTATCAGTAAACATGGCTTGGATTGCTGCTGTACTGGTCACTATTTCACAGGAAACAGAGAAAAATTGTGCAAGGGAATAATCTGATGGCCTGATGACAAGGCCTGTGTTCATGCACAAGCATTTGTTTCATTAACTGCAGGTGCTTATTACACTGTAAGGTGGCTACAAGTGTAGAATGAATGGTAGAGAATGCAGGCTCTTATTTCCTCATCAAATTGTAAACACAATGCTTATTTTGCAATCACTTTGAAACCACTTCCTTGTTTGAACAAAGCAATCCATAACACAAAATGATTCTTATACATGTAGTAAATGTAAAAGTACATGTACCGATACACGTACATTTTTTTTGTTCCCTTCACTTTACATGCATTTTCCATGTAATATAAAAAGACAGTAATGGTACCGGTACATATATAGTTGATGGATGGAGACCCCCAAGAAGCATTGTCAAGAGGAGGACCCACAGACACTGATGACAAGACTACAGAAACTACTACTACTAGTTACAGTGTACATGTACATGTAACTAAGAAAATAATGTGCAAAAATAAATACATGTAATACACATACAGTAATATATAGGCTGTAACCCTGTGGTATATAACTTAATGTTAGATAAATAATTATTAATAATTTATATTTGTTTTTATGCTTAAACATACTGGTAGAGGAACATGCATAGATGTGGTAAATGTATTAATGTACATGTACATGTAGGTAAAACATGCAGCTACAAATGTACATACATACATACATGTACATGTACATGCATGTACAATGTACATGTACACTGTACGTGAACATCGTTACAAACATTTTGCAAAAGAAAGTCAGTTTTGGATAAGCTTGTTAATGAGGGTAAAAGGTTAAATTCTCCATCAATATCATTTTGCAAATTGCACGATTTGTGTGTGTGTGTTTTAGAATAGTATCGAGAATGGAAATCTAAGAAATTTTCAAAATCTTGTGAGAATAGAATTAAATCATCTTCACTTAATCAAGCAACTGTGCAGTGTCGCCAGATCAAGCCTTGGTCCCTGACCTGGTGAATGCTGTACTAGTTTTAACGAATGGCAGAGTGGCGACATCAATATACATGTACACTAGACTAGAATTTCAAAAACAGAAACAGTGGAGGAACGTAAACCAATGATTGGCCTGGGTCAGTTAAGCCCTACAAGAAGTACCGGCACATGTACATGTATGGGGCTCATAAGAAGCTTTTCACAAATGTGGTTGTGGGCCATCACTGGCGATGTGAACATGGTGAAGGTGTGGTTGTGGGCCATACTGGCGATGTGAAGGTGTGGTTGTGGGCCATCACTGGCGATGTGAAGGTGCGGTTGTGGGCCATCACTGGCGATGTGAAGGTGGGGTTGTGGGCCATCACTGGCGATGTGAAGGTGTGGTTGTGGGCCATCACTTACGATGTGCAGGTGTGGTTGTGGTCCATCACTTGCAATGTGAAGGTGGGGTTCTAGGCAATCACTGACGATGTGAAGCACAAACGCACTCACAACAATACCAAAATGAGTCAACTTTGTGTCACTTGATGATTCAAAGGTCAAGTTGTCTGTCCATTTGAGGCACAGACGGTCGAGTTGCCCCACCCGTCATGCCAGTCGAGTTGTTCCAACTTGAGCTGGCAAACGGTCGAGCTGGCAAACGGTTGAGATGTCTGAGCCTAGTGACCACTAGCCCCATGACTCGGCCTGGCTACAATGTACATATAGGACTACTCGCCTTGCTACAACAAGGTAAGCATGGGGCTACCAGTATGCAGATCTGTAAACAGGGCCCTAAGTACATGTACATGCCAGAGCTGTAAGTTAGGCGTTGTACATAACTGTACACACATTCGCAAAATACGCAAGTTAGGCCTACAACATACATGTACATTTGTACATACGTGTACAAAATCTGACAAAACACACAGAAACATGCTGTCAATTATCCACAAGACATATAGGCTTTGGACTTTGTAGAATAAATTATATTAAAAATGGCAACCAATTACATTAAAAAAAAGCTGAAAGAAACAACAAGGCATGTTTGCTCTCTTTCGTTTGAGCATTTCATACCTGGGACCCGACTGGCACTGGAATCGTGGCGTGCATAGACTGCTAGTGCATTCACTGCATTATGAATAGATGAAATGTCTCAGTTCCCCATACACACTCTATACAGCTTGCGACCACCATGGAGGAATGGGTTTTTATTCCTCCATGCGACCACAAACCAGTCGACTTGAGTACATTATTAATCATGTTATCGCTCGTGTTGTCAGTACGACCTAGGCTTACATGTACCTTGACCAACATGTAGGCGTAGGGAGTAGGGTCACGATAACCACTGAGCCTTCAAGTACATTGAATATAAAAAGAACGGAGTAATTGCAGAAAACCCAGCCACACGAAAACACCCCCTAAAAATCAATGGCTACATGTTCGTAGCCAAGTGGAGGTTGTTTGACTTCGGGTTATCCTTGCTGTGTCAAGGTACACATTGTGTACTGCATTGAAGTCATTCTTGAGAACAAAGCACTGCAACACAAAGTGAATGGGGATGGTGGAAGAATTTTCCTAAGTCCAATGTGGGTCCCGGGGAGCGTGGAACATTATGTCACTTGACCCCTCATTGTCTCGACGGCTGTTCCATGTCAAGACATCTAAACTGCTGCCAAAGTTTTGGAAGAGCCCATTAATACATGCAGTACCTTATCGCACAGTCCGTGTATTAGATACATGTACATAAATACCAGAACAACGTGAATGAAATCATTCAATAAATGGCGCTAAGAAAACGGAGAGGCTAAGGATCATCTCTGTGTGCAAAAGAAATTGCGCCCACGATGATAAGTGGGTGCGCCGAAAATGCTCAGTACGCCGACACGAAATTGCATATATGGATGTGTGGTTTGCTTGGGCGGTATTTCGGTATTACCGAATACCGCGGTTTTGTTTTTAATACTGAGCAATACCGACTAACAATCCATGAATACCGGAATACCAACTAATTTGGTATTGGATTTCAATACCGCGGTATTCTGGCTAATTTGTTCAGAATGTTCTCACAACCCTCATAAGATGAAAGCAGACAATTATATTCACAACACTGACTGCATACTTTGTGGTTTCAGTCATCCAGCATCACGTTTGTATTGTCTCTTTTGGTGAGGAGATAAAACGTAACGTGATACTTCAGCATGCAGCCACCAACCTGCCTGTCAAAAGGTTTTGTTTCCCTATCGCCGCCGTCAAGTTTGCCATTTTGGAATAGCTTGTAGGCAGTGCTTTTTGTATTACTCATTGGCACATGTATACACGTACATGTATCACAGCCCTACAGGTTGGGAATTAAAAATCAGCTGGTCTTCCGTGTCCACACTGGACTTTATTTTCCAAAGATTTTTATTGGCGGATCAGAAAATGCGAATGCTGCTTGTGCTAGCCTTGTGCTCTCTTTGGGTCTTTTTTGTCCTTCATATCCCACATGTACAAGTATTGTGTGAAAATCTATCTAACCAAAGCCAGGAATGTGTGTTATAAACTATAAAATGATACCATAAATCTGCACCTGTTCGACATCCATGGCAATCAACAATCTTTTTTATTGTTCTCACATTCGTTCCAACCACACGAAAAGAGAAGCAAAAACCCGATTCGTCACTTGTCACTGCTTGTATTTCAGTTTTTCCGGAATAAAATTAGGACAACGTGGCAACGTGGTTGATCAAAAAGATCTCTCGGTTATGATTAATCAAATACCTTGTGATGTGTTTAGAATAATAAACTTAACTGTCATAGGACAACATGTTTAATGTGCATGTGAAATATAAAAAAGCAAATACATGTGAAAGCATTGATCCAGGGATTTTTAAAGACTTTCCAATCGCCATGGATGACGACGAAGCCAACAGTAACTAACCTGCATGTACATGTAGGCCTGTGTGTACCTGCAAGAATGTGAAGGCTCATTAACTAAAGCCCCCATCCATGTAAGTAGTCTTTCCAACACAAATTGTGTCACGGAGAGACATGTTTTTTGTTTAATTTTTCGCCTCTCTTTTGATTTTTGACACAAGCTGCATGACACGAATGATTGGTAGTCCGAGATCACTCGCCCACTGCAGCGCGGTCGCCCGTGAGCGAGATGGTTGCTGAAGAAACATAATGTGATGAACGAGTACTGCGATTGGATAGCTGTGTCTTGCCAAATGTACGTCATGAAAATGCACAGTCTCATTGACGGGCACGTCCATTAGTTGGACTCTTGAGATCCGAGAATGGTCATGCGAACTTATTTGGGGCGTATTTTATCGGAAATGGGATGGAAATTTTTGTTTTGGGGTTTCTGTAATGAATGTAAAATATCATGGATTTTTTAATCATGCACTATGTGTGTCATGACGACAGGAATCTGGCAACCGATGTCTGTATATCGCGTTGTAGCGTGCGTGCGATAAGCCTTGTGTTGCGCGAATGGAAATTTTGTGGAAGCACGCTCGCTTGAGTACAAGCAGTACAACTTCAAATTAAATTCATGAACACAGAAAACACAAACATAGACATGAGATCAATTATCGTGAATGAACCTGCAGAAAAATTTGTGACGGCAGTGTTTTTTTCGACTTGCAACTATAGAGCTGCATTCGATGCCGCATTTCCATCATGCCTTCATTGGCAACGGTTCGGCCCGGCGGGAACCAGTGTGGTGTAACCGCGCGCATGTTTTTACCACCGCGATTCGCAAACGCTTTATGAATGGGTCGTCAAGAATGGTTTTTCAGGCAACAGAGTCACGAAAACCTTTCGTTGTACCAGGAATTTCGTACAATGTTATTTCGTGCTAACATATTTTCTCCCCATAGAAATATGCACGTTTTCACCGGGACCACAGATATGTGCTTGTTGTAATCGGAATTTTGTTACAACCGAATTCGTAATAAAGAGTCGACTGCCGCATCGCAGAGTTTCCTGAAAGCCACCTTACCATTGCATACGCATAGTGTTAGGGCGCAGCTAAGAGGAGCAGCCACTGGTGACCCGCACGTAATCATTACAAGAACGAACTGTCTCAGTGAGTACCAACGTGACTGTAGCGCATGTGCAGATTTTGACACCGTACGAGCATGGAGGAATAAAACATGTACGAGTGACCACACAGATATAGAAATCTCGGAGCAATAAATTGGTATTTAAAACACCGTCCCTTTTTTAAAAATTCATTCACATAAATAATTTTTATTTGACATCAAATGGACGGATAAATTATCATAGTTATTAAGTTTAGGGGGTTTTGTGACGTTAAAAACCCTTTATGCTGGCCCCTACATGTAGTGTTGTTTGTGGTTTGCCATTGAATCTCAGCTTTTTGATGAAGTCATTGCCTTCTGCAACGAATACCGCGGTATTAGTAAATACCGCGGTGTTTTTTCATGGATACCGCGGTATCGAAAAAGGCAATAACGCCCAAGCCTAATGTGTGGCTAAGGACATGAAGGATGAACATGATGGACCGGGAGTGAGAGTACGTGCCACCTTACGTCCTGCAACGGAAAGTGAATAGGGATGGCGGAAGAATTTTGTAAGTCCAATGTGGGTCCAGGGGAGCGGATACGGGCATACGATGTGGGCCTTGTGTCGTGCAACGCAAAGTAAATGTGGAAGGCGGAAGAATTTGCCCAAGTCGAATGTGGGTCCCGGCATGCCCGGGGAGCAGTTACGCGGATATTACGGGGATACGAAGTGGGCCTTGTGGATGGAAGCGTGACTCCGTAACCGCGTATCCGCGGCTACGAGGTGGGCAAGGTGAGTGGCGGGGTATTCTACAATTGTGCCAAAAGGATGTATAAATCAAACATACCTAACTGCTGAATTCCGAAGTACAACGTAGCTTACACCGCACATTGGATACAAAATGAATCAAGTCGATCGGCATTACACTGTCACTCCCATTAGAAAAGCCAGACATGTTGTTCCAAAGCGTGCAACTTCTTTTCCGGGTTAACTTGTACATTATTTTACTGTCGCATCGTAGGTTACTGCCTACTGTTGTGGGGACGAGGTTGGCTTCAATCTAGGCAAAAGTGAGCGCCCTCAACATCCTCATCAATTTCCAGAATGAATAATGCACTACTAATACTGCGATGCCCCCATTCCAAGAAAAGCCAGGAAAAAAGCCTACTGTGGTGTTCAAAGCACTTACCAAATAGAAGTTTGCGAACCTTTCCTTTCCTGTTCAATGATTGCTGGGTTAACGGACGACTTGTGAAGATATTTCCATTTCAAAAAGAGTGAATTTGACCCCGAGCCTGTAAATAATTATGATGTTTCATTTGGGATGCATCAGTACGTATAAAAGTGGCAAGATCGGCACCAAAGTAAAAAGCACGATTTGAATTAATAAAAACTTGAAAATCTACTATTACATTTTAAAAAAATGTATGATTAAAAAGCGCATCACTGGGCTTTGCTGTGTAGCGATTCCTTGTTTCTCAGTCTTCAAATGTTCCAAAGCATGCAACTTTTCAAATTGTGAAATTGCTTGAATGAGCACATTATCCGAATACACAGACAAAATATGTGAACAAAACCCAAAAGCAAAATTTCATTCAACATTTTTACTACGGCCCCTTTAATTTTTTCAAAATACACAAGATTTGAATAAGAGACTTTTCAAGCTTGGTTAAAAAAATGAAAAATCGGTGTGAAATCCCTGAAGTTCCCCTTTTTTTAACCTTGATGCATTTTTTGCAGTTCCCCCTCTCGAAAATACAAAATATTTTTTCAATAAAAGATCACGTTTTATTTCATTTTACATAATACTTACATCTGTGCTAGGCACAAATAATTACAATTACACTTTTTAAATAAAAACTGAAAGGCACATTTCAACACCAATCATGACCCTCGCTCAGTGAGTGTTTACTTAATAACAGAATCACTACAGCAAAAATACAGGTTAGATCGGGTTGAAATAAAAAAATGTAACAAGTTGGAATATGTTCCAACTTGCAGTCGTGCGCTGCCTTCAAGGTTAATTTTACAAATATCTAAGACTTACAAACGCTGCATATTGAGAAGTCCAGTCATTTCACACATTTCTCCCAGGGATTAGAATAACAGTTCCCCTGAAAGTTTCACTGTAACATATTCAGGGTCAGTAATATGTAAAGATGGCTTCTGCATATTTAAAAAAAATTAATAATTAAATTATATATAAAAAAGAAGACAAGAACAAGCCTTTTAAAGCCTCTGCTACAAATTATACAGAATTTAGCAGCAACCAAATTAACAGTACTGTTGCAATGTTCTTGTCCCAGCAAAGCCAATTTAACACAAAACATACATGTGGCTAGTTTGAAGGGGTTTAGCCTGCCTTCCAACCTTTTACACTTTATCTACAAAAATAGGAGCAACCTTTACTGAGAAAAATTCCCCATTTCCCAAACTAAAACTTGGACATACAACTAATTACATTTTTTTCACAGCCTCACTAATGCTCCTAAGTTTATGCCCAGAAATGTCAATATGCCTTGACGAATTTATGCAACATTGACATATCAAATGGGTAAACGTATAAATACAAGTGAAAGAAATTTCAGAGTTGCAGCAGCTGCATGTACGTACGTTTCTCACCACAAAAACGATGTGTTTGAACTACCCTCTTTGCTGTCTGACTTCAAACTTTTAACTTGAGATAACTGCAACTCCTTCTTGTCATTCTGTGTCATTCTTGTCAATCATGTCTTTTATTTCAGAGGGTGGCGAGGAAGACTACTGTTGACAGCAGTAACAACTAGATCACACGGAATGCTCTGCATGTAAACATTTTTTATGTACAAAATAGGAAATATAAAGGTTATATGAAGGAAGATTGGTTGACTAGTGCATTGTGAGCCTTTTTACACTTTTCAATTTGGAAAGTAAAACGCAGGTCAACTGATATATGCAACTCATATGGGTACAAACTAATATATGTACACACAAAAAAAGACAGCTACAGTAAAAACATTGTTCTGGAATTAATTAAGGCAGTGCCTTTAATGAACCGAGTTGCATTCTAGCACGGTTGGCTCCATGGATTTTGTGTGTGTGTGTGCAATGGGACAGGCCCAATGGTGTTAACGATGAATATACATTAGCAACATCATCCTAACATGCCTTTGGGACCAAAAACTTTCCTTTCAGCTCAAAGTTCAATGGTGAAACCAAATAATTCAGTAACAGTAACACACTGTTCTTCTGGTTTGCACCAGCGACGGAAGTGGAGGGGGGGAAGGGGGCCAGTGGCTTTTGGATGGGAGGGCATGACCCCTCCACCTTTTGCTGGTCCTAAAATTGGTGGGGTTCAATAGATTGGCCTTTTAATGGCTGATGTCTGATTGTCTCACAACTGAGCCTCAACTTTGAAAATTGCTCTGCTGCCGCTGCTAGTACGACAGTACTGAGTAAGTCATGCAAGTTAACATTGACCGGTCTACAAGACTGTGCTGCATCCAGCATTACCCCCCAAATTGACACATGCCACTGCAGCGGAGGCTGTGCACCTGCCACTCACAGAAGGATGCAGCAGGTCGTGTCCATTCACATGAAAATACTCGGCGATCACAAGGGTGTATGTGGTTAAGGTTTGTGACTCACGGTCAGAGGGTGAGGGGTTCGAATCCAGATGTTGGTCATATGCTGTGGCCTTGGTTCAAGCCACTTAACCCATGCTTGCCTCTCGCCACCCACGAGTATGAAAAAGACCAAGAGGTAAAAACATTCACTGGGAAACAACCTGCAGTGGACTAACAACCAATCGGGGGGGGGATAGAAATATTCTCCAATGTTGTAATAGAGTACCGAAGTGTGACATCACTGTGAGCCAGAAAGTGCAGTGCAAATGAACGGAGTACACGCGCATGTTGGTTCATCGCGTGACGTATTCACTTCGGTACTCTATACCAAGGAAATCAGAAATAAACACGGGCATGTGCCAAGTTGCTTAAAACAGACTTGCTTATGGGTACATCTTGACACACTCTACAAGTGACGTATTTTGAACACTGCATGTGTACACTCAGGGGAGTTCTCGAAAGTAGTAATACCTTGAATAAAGCACCACTTCCTGTTCCGGTAGTGCTCACCCACAAATCAAGTTGATAGGCCAAATCAACATGCCAGGTCACACAGCACCAGCTTTTGTTTCTGAACTGTGTCCGGATGTATATTAATTAGCAAAGAATTAGGAGGAGCCTATCTTGTGGCGGGTGATATGAAGTGCACAATATCATGTCACATATGCAGTGAAAAGTACATGCATTTCACTTTGGACTAGTCTGGTGGATCGGTCCGTGGGGCATCATCAGGATGTTTTTAAGGGTGGGGGGGAGGGAACCCCTTTTTTTCAGGGCAAAGCATTCATCAGCTGAGAAATAAGAAACATTTGATGGCTGGGACTTTTTGTGTAACCCTATTATGGCTTTTCTGTGGGTGAGGTTACATTTTGGACTTTTTACACACTTTTGAAAGGAAAATGAAATCAATATTCATTTGAGGCACATTATTAAGGATGCCATTCTTATTTCACTGGATTCTGTTTTGTGCCAAGGCCAGCTTCAAAATAATTCCCGAGTGAATCTCAGGAGTTAGCTAACTTGCAATTCTTCCAATCATCTCTTTTCGCATGTGATGCAACACAATAATGCACAATATTGACCAACCCAAATTTCTAGTTTTACGTGTATTCTTTTTCAGACCGCCCCAAATTGCTGGCGGCTGTCTGAAGAATTGCAGGTTTTGCAGCACATGCTATTACTTTGATGAAGCAGACGTGTACAAACAGAACATTTATAATGATCCCATGTGTATCCCACCAATTTTACTATGAAGTCCTCTGCATCTGGTTTGTACGTGTGTTGCTTCAGGCAGTCTATAACGCTGTGGATTGTTACATGTGTATGGCTTTCCTTACTTGATAAAATATCACACAGTTTTTCAATGTGGTCCTCCCTAGCATCCTTGACACACAAATAATCATCTCCTTCCAACTTAAAAGCCTTTGCCACTATTTCCGGCAGGTAACGTTTTCCTGAAGAATTCAGCTCAACCTGCAGAGATCGTCTAAGGTCAAGGTCCCTGGCTGCTTCCATGAAAGTCTTGCAACTGCTTGTCTGGCTTTCCACATCTTCTAATGAAGAACAAAAGGATAGTTTGAAAGAGTCGGTTATCCTGTCTGACAAGTTGTCGAGTCGTGATTTCTCAGCAAGGTACACATGTACGGACAAATTTGACATCAAATGAATTTGTTGATATCAACAGGTTATGCAATGGTTCTGACATGAATGAATTTAAAGTTCAAAGAGTCTTACACATCCATGTGTTGGTCTAAGGGACAAGTCTAAATGCATTTGCTTTGTACATGTAGTTGGAAGGACTTGAAACATACATGTATTAAAAAAAAAGAAATTGTGGGGTCCAAAAAATCCAGTGCCCACAACTTTGTCTAGATATTTAAAAACTGTTCATAACAAAATTTTCCCTATCGAAGTGATCTAAGGCCAACTAGTAATAGTAAAGTGTGTTGTACTTGGCTTGGCTGTTGTACACAGCCCGTCAATGTAGCTTTAATATCACAAAGTGAATTTGTTAACAGGCCGCCACAAACAAGCGAGTAAAACAGCATTTTTGTGGTCTTTGAAAAGACACTGATTCATATGTTCCAAGTGGTGATGTTTGAACATCCTCCTATATGTACAATTTAGTGTCTTGTAAATGATAAATGAAATCTGAAGGTTTGCACAGTACACAAGCATGGAAGAAGCAATGACATCAGGTAGAGTATACTGCCAAGAAAGTTGAGTCAACTGGATTTTGTTGTTTCAAACCACATAACTCTATACTTCTTAGACGGCCTTACTCAAAGCGTTTCCTCTAATGATACAAACACTGGTAATATACTGTGCACAAATCAGTATAACTATACCAATGTCGGAATATTTCAAATAAAAATAACATGGTCATCATGTTTCAAACCCAAAACAAAATGGTTCAGGAACCTTGACAACTTTCCTTGCCCATGACCAACAGTATAATACAGTGTGACATCACCTTACCTGTAATTACCACTTTATTCTCGGCAATACACTTGAAAGTCTGGTGATCCGACAGCAACTGATAGTCCACAAGTCCAGCTTTGACCGTGTATTCAAACCCAGGGGGTATATCTGACAGAACAAGCTCATTTTGCCCCTGTTCCAGTCTTATCCACTTTCCCAGACCACGTAAGTTCAAGCAGGGACAGACCTCCACGGTGTTGCAGCCAAACTCCTGGAGACCCTTAAGAGTAGCTGAGGACCCTTGGACCTCCAGTGACAGGAGATGGCCTATTCACGTAAAAAAAAACAAAAACAAACTCATCAGACACAGTCCCATCTGTTTCCTTGACATGAGGAAAGATGTACCCTTTTCAGCGGAATGATAAACTTTCTTAGGTCAAGACCAAGTATGGTATCATACACACAAAAGGCAATGCATACCCATCTGTGCATGATAGACCCCCACTTCACAAAATAAAGCAGATAACAATGTGATGCTACAAGCTAAAATAAGATTTCCTCTAACAGGAGACAAAAGAATCCCAAACAAAACATGTGAGCCCCTCCAAGGTTGCGTGATACCCCCTTCAAGACACTCCTCCCTGAAGACAGCCTTCCAAAGGTGTTGGACCCTGCACGGAACTAGAGGATAAGGTCCCCTCTAAGGATGTGAACCTCCTTGAAGGTAACACCTCACTCCGTTCAGGAGTGGGCAAGGAACCCTTGGGTGACCATGCAAGAGTTATATAGAGGGCACCAGAAAAAGGCATTTAAAGAGACTTGACACAACATCAGCTGTTTAAAGTTAAATGTCTTCCACGTACGTGTGGTGGCCTTTACACTTTTCACTGCAACTTGAGTGCTCGCTTGTTGATGGAGTGAGATGACATATGCTGTGCCCGGGGGTAGCCTTTCGAACTTTTGCCACAAAGTGCAATTGGCTTGCCAAGTCATTGCATCAGACCACTGGACTGCATCCTGGGAGCCGTCTCTTTCTTCCCTCCGGCAGGAAAACTTCATCTGCTTTCCCTGGAACTTTGTGCATGGATTCACTGCCTTGACTGAGATGCTCTGTGACGTGACATCAGTGACGTCCATTCCAGCTGGACAAGAATAAATGTTCAAAATGATAAAACACAACTTGTGGAGCAAATGAAAGTAAATCATCAATGATAGAAAGCTACCATATATCACGAGTGCTGGAGACTCAAGGCAACATTGTATTATGAACGTCAAATATGGAAGGAAAGGTCGCAAGCTTCTGCTCTCAATTCATTTCTTTTCAGTTCATGAACAGACAACTGTTTACAAGCCTTGATTTAATTAAGCTGTGGACTGATGTCTTGTAGACATTTTGAAACCAAATTAGAAAAATTCATTTACCATGTTCAAAGTTTCAACACGGTGATAAATAAACTTCCTTCTTCTGAGGTGAAAAATTCATTGCCACAATAACAAAAAGTCTTCTATATGCACTAAAACTCTGCAGATTTAGACAGCATAAATTGAGTCATAAGGGTAACGCCAGTTTCAATAAAATCCTGGCAGTAAGATGTTACAGGAAATGAGAGAAAAAAAAAAGCATCTTGGAGTTGAACATTGCTTCAAGAGAAATACTCACGCAAGAGGGGAGCTTCTGAATCAGCCCAAGATGAGGATCTCGACTTTAAACATCCAATTCTCTTCACAATGCACCAGATGACAAAAGCAAAAAATGCACCTGCTATACTTATGATGATGGAGGCATACACTGGAAATGATTCATTACCTGGTCAAAAGAGAAGCAATACATCAGTTCAAGTCTTTCGAAAGAAGACTTTTTTCCTGTAAGTCAACATAGGGGAAGTGATGCACATCTTAAGGCAAGTTTCAGTGCCCAGATTTATCTCAAGACCAAGTTTGTTTTAGGTCCTTGGCATATCAGTCCAAGGTCTCAACTTCAAAAACTCGGTCTCTGAAAGAAGGGCCTTGCAATCTGATTGGATCTCGAATTGAGATTCTCGATCAACATACCAACCCACACCACACACACACAAATCACAACTAAGAACACTTAATATCAACAAACAACAGAGAAGCTTTGAACCACCAAAGTATCGTCATTTCCAGTTATAGATAGTAAGCCCAATAGTTTCTGATAAATGCAACCCATAGCTACACCCTTGTTCTATTGTAAGAGCAGTATGGCGCCCATCACACATTACTAGGGGAATCCTCTCATGCATTCCAAAGATGAAACTACAGTCACTGTAGTATGAAAACAAGATCGGTCAAGCATCGTACTGCTTGTTTGAGCTGAATGAAGATCTACTAGTAAAGAATTAATGATTCCTTCCATTATTTAAAATTAGAGATCCAGAGTTAAAAAAGCATTACGCCACCAAAGAAACCAACCCAACTCCAACACAAAAGAAGAACAAGCAAAATACACATACAGAATAAAGAACACCATCAGTCATAGGGCCATAAAAAGCACACAAAGGTCAAAGATCAGGTCACAAACTTTTAAACAATACCAAGGTGACAGGGAACATATACTCTAAAAGTTCACAGCTCAATTGAACAGGTTGTGGCTTGAAACTGGATCACTCTCGCTTGGCTCCTGATCAGTATGTGAATTAAGGACCCTTTTCCACTTAAACGGTTGGGTTTAGAAAACTGCATCCAAGCCAATCTTCCCCTCCCCCTGCGCAATCTAAACAGATGCATATACCTTTACCAATTGTCTGTAGACATGTTTACCTTAATTAGCTACACTGGGGATAGTTAGGTTAGAGGATGTGCAAAAAGTGGATGAAACTTAATGCCAATTTAGAAAAGTCCAAAAACAAAACAAAATACATGGTGCACACTAAAGTGCTTACTTACCAGGAACGTCAGTTATGGAAGGAGAAATGTCTGCTTTTGGAACTGTAGACAGAGAAAGATGCAGTGGAATAACTAAGATGAAAAAGGGGAGGCATGGGCCTCGTTGAGGAGGGGGCATGGGCCTCCCTGGGTAGGGGGAACGTTCCCCCCTTGTCCCCTGTAGTTAAGCCACCGGCAACAATGTTAACCAGAAAGCAAGGTGCATACTTTTGCAGTACATGTACACACAAAATAGACGAGGAAGTTTTCACTATTGAATATTTATCTTTTTTTTTTTACAGTATCCTCTTTTAACTCTTATCCTCCTAGCTACCGTATTTCAATGTTCACCGGTTGGGTTTGGGAAGATTTTGTAGAATGGAGGAAGGCATTGCGAGAGCCCATAGCCACTGTCATTTATTGTGGCTCTTAATGTCTCTGGAACATTTACACGTGCGGTGAAAATATGCAATTTTTATCTGACATTGGCAAAAAAAAAGAAACCCCCAACACAAAAAAAAACGGAAATCGGGCAAGGGCAGGCACCCTGCTGGCAAAAAAAGTTAAAGTATGTTTGGTGTCTGGACTGGCGCAGTAACTGCACCTCAACTTTAAAAGCAAACACGATGGGTGCCTGAGTGTGGGGCCATCCCAGTCATGACGTCTCCTTGGAGTATTAGTATTTATGTATTCACAAGTGGCGCTTACCAGAGCAGTTGGACCCAATCCAGTTCTTATCGCATGAGCACTGGCAACTGGTTTTATCAAGCGTGCCCCCATTCAAACATGACAATCCACACTCTAGAAAAAGAAAATTGCTACATTAATGCTTTTTAACATGGGAAAGACATGGGCAGACAACAGGGTGGTTCAAGTGCATTTGTAACTAAAACAAGTTGCAAAATATACAGGTAATTAATATGTACGTTTCATGCACATAGTTTGTTTCATTTCACAAAGTTCTTGGCATTTTGCCTGAAATTTCAGGTATACAGGACTAACGTTCATGTATGCAGTACGATATACCAAATTTGCACTCACCAGAGCAGATGGGCCCACTCCAGGCCTCATCACAGGAGCACTGGCAAGCAGTCTCATCAAGTGTACCTCCATTCCAACAAGACAGATCACATTCTAGAAAAAAAATCAAACATTACTACATTGACAAGTCAGGTTGCTGTGCAAAAGACAACAGTAGGCAGTGAACGCTTAAGTGAATTTGAAACCAGAAAGAAGTGACAATATTTCAACCAAATCTGCAAAATATCACCAGGGATATCAGTGATGCGCTCTTGAAATTGTACATATTGATGGGAACATACATATGTACTGTACATGCATATCCACAACTAATATGCATCCCAAATGTAAAACTAAGGAGAAAAACCTATGATGGATGGGTTTTAAACTAGTACATTTAAAGCTGGATAGTGGCCTAATGGCACCAGGCACGCGGCCATTTTGAACAGTCGTTTAAAACCATTCAATCACTTTTATTCACATTCATAAATAGCTTTGTCATTAATAAAAGTCAACTCAAACTGAAATTTATAGATTTCAAATGACTGTGTTAATCTATTCTGCCTCAATGCGAAACATCCCTCCAGACACACAAGCACTGTACATGTACTGTAGCTACATGTAACACGTATCTATGTACCTTTCACACAAGTACTGTACATGTAGTGTAGCTTACTAATGTCTATGTACCTTTCGTGTACAGTGCTTAAATCTTCCATGGAAGTTACACACACACACACACAGCACCTACATGTACATGTACTGTGTGAGGAGATGCCAAATGCAGCTGTGTCTCTGTTGAGTGAAATTTTGGTTACACTGTGCATGTACCTGTATGTCTGATAATAACTACATGAACACGTATGTTATATGCATGATTGTCATGCACGGGTTTTAGATTGAGTCCCTAAAAACTAGGAGTGAAATTCAGAGGAAACCAAAGCCTGTTTGAGAGGAAACCAAAGCCTGTTTGAAATCAATTCGTATAATTGTACAATCTGCTTAGTACACATCGTGCGTGCCAATAGGGACGTGTAACCTGTATTTTTTTGACTGATATTTAAAATGTTGTCAACAAAAACAACAGAAACAACTAACGCTGGTTCACTCACCATCACAAGAACGTCCAGTCCAACGCCCATCACATAGGCAGTGACACAATACAGCATCCAAGACACCTCCATAGGAGCAGGTCAGACCACATTCTAGGAGTTGACAAAAATACTTTGCCAATTCAATCATGTTTGTGCTACATATATGACTGGACGGCAGGATGAATGCACCCACGCCGGCAAAGAACAGAAAGACTGGTGGGTATTAAGAGCTAAGCTCACATGCAAAGACCGTACACTCAGACAGCAATCGATGGCATCTGCCCATCAGCCATCAGCATGCCTTGCACCAAATGCGCGTAAATCTGTGAGTATGTGCAGTGAGTTCCCACAAAGGACCTATGCAAAACACACCCTCTCTTCCTACTTGGGCAATGTCAGAGCGGGTGAGATTTCAGGAAAAAAAAATTCTCAAAGGGTGCACTGTTTAAAGCAGTTTGAATAAGTACATGCATCTGTTGGCAAAAAATCTAAACCAATCCCTCATCAATGTTTTCTCTGGATTCCTTGCTGACAATAACAGTTACGCCAGCACAGGAGTACAACACTCAAAGCTGAGGTCCTTTCAATACCTTCAGAATGCCTTATAGCCTACTTCCACAGGACAAATCTCACACTCCCCTCCTAACTAAACAACCAACAAAAATGAAATGTGGAGAGGGAGACTAGCCCCTCACCGACCCTCATCTTGGAACCATTCCCACAATACAGATTATTCAAACTACATGTTGCAAATAGGGAAAGTGTACCTAGTCTATTAAGCTTGCACGAGATCGCAGGTTTACAAGCAATCTAGTAGTAAGCACGGAACAAACTTGCAGCGAGTGGAAATGCTTCCTGAAGCAAGTGGCAAGCTTGTGGATGTGCTCGCAAGCTTGTGATGATCTTGGGTATGGGCCTGCAACAATCTTGCTAATGGGATGCAAGCTTGTAGCAAGTTTATCATTGGCTGTGCACATAAATGTCACAACTGCACATGCTTAACAAGTTTTTTAAAAACGGAGTAATTACGGCGCCCTCTTCGATGAGTGTAGTCACAAGTTGCACTCACCAGAGCAGTTGGACCCAGTCCAGTCATTAGCGCATGAGCACTGGCAACTGATTTTATCCAGTGTGCCTCCATTCAAACATGACAATCCACAGTCTACAGGAAAAACCATATACACGTTTATCATTTTAAAATGAGAACTGAAGTAGAGGATCATGCTCAGTGTTAAATGAAGTAAATTTAAACAGACAAAAAAGACGTGAAAGTGTCATGGCAAATATATATATATGCAGATGCACCAAAGATGTTGCCAAGTCTCGCCAAGGCATTTTGCATTATACATGTTTGTAGCACTGGGTGTACCATGCACCTACTGGTACATGGTCATCTTCTTGTGAAACATTTTCATGCTGCAAGAATTTAGTATTGCCAAGTACATGCATACAAACTCCTCCTCAGCAAGACTGAAATGAAATGCATGCAACAATGGCAAGACAGCTTGTCACACTTGAGAACATTCTGTTATACATACAACTTAATGCACAGCTGCATACTCAAGAGTCAAGACAATATCTAGAGGCCATCGTGCAAAATCTTTAATTCTCTATCCTTTCTTTTAAACAATTATTGACCGGTGCTCAGTTGTCAACTCTGAAAAACCAGGGGGCAGTCAAAAGTGCACTTCAGATATAAGTAGGATCAATCTGAGTGGAACCCGGTTTTTGAGAAACTGCATCGGAGCAGACCCTATAAAGTGGGAAATTCATTACCAAGGGCCTATGTTTTCACACAGATCTAAATCTCAACCAGTAATCTGTTGTTGGTTCGCTGACACTACAACTTGTGTACTTGTTGGAGCAACCCAGTGTTAAGATCCGGTTCCATATGAAACAAACAGCTCCTGAGTTTGACAAGGGCACATCCGGCACAAGCAACCTCTCAGTCATGTCTTGCGGAAATAAGGCTCCTGACTATTAGACCACATGGGCTTAGTATACAAGTTTTGGTCCTGATTTTTTGCTGATAAATATAATCTTTCATATTCACCATATTCTCTGTTGCTGTTGTAAAACAGCAGCCAAAAGTTGATGCCTTACCGGAGCAGGTAGTTCCATTCCAAGGTGCAAAACATTCACATTGACATGCTTCCTCGCTTAGTATACCGCCATTGTCACAGGAACGCAGCTGACAAACTACAATAGATTATGTGCAATGAAAGAGACTATGATCAATCCTTTCACATTTTGTTGATAAGCTGAAATGTGTTTTTTTTTTTTTAATTCGGTGCAAGGCGTAGTCATCATACATGTATCTGAACCAAGAAGACATGCAAATAACTAGGAATAATTGAATACATGTACATATATTATCTCTTTCAAATTCATTTGCTCACTTTAAAATGTTCACTAAATGACAAATTTGAATAGCAAAACTCAGATCAGAGTGAGGCTACGACTGTAAGAGTGAGTGACTGTTTCCCCCTGGATGCTTGCATATACATGTAGGTGCTTTACACTAAGGATGCCAGGTTGGTCTCTTGTAATCATTTTTACCAACCATCTCTTCAAAATCTCTCCATACCGTATAGATTTTTCCCAGGCAAAGTTGGTATGAACAAGAAACACAGACTGGGCCATTTTCACAAATGATCTTAATGTAGGGGAACTAATTTTGTTAGTATGTATCATACATGTGTCCTGTTAAAGTGATGTTGTATAAACTGGCGCCCAATGCAGTGTAAATATAATTTATACATGAACGCACAGCACATCCAGACAAAAGCCATACAGTTAGTTAGCACCCACAGGTCAAAGGTTGCACGGTGGAAAGTTTGTGGAACTAACAAAAGTTTGTGGTAGATCTTGCGCGAATGAAGAGCAGATAGACTGGGTGAAGAAGAGAGAATTTAAAGAAGTTTGGAGTGGGAAAAATAAATGACAGGGCATGCGGGCTGCCAAGCATTTGGTTTGGGGTGAATAAAACCATGGATTAAACACACATCCGCTGGTTTTCCTGATTTCGAGTCTGTGGGCCATGAGTTGTTTGTTCCCCACAGACTTGGGCCACTACATGTACATGAACATATTTTCTCATGCCAGTTTTAAGAGGATTTCATTTAAGCTTGACAGGTGAGAGTTGATACGAACTGAGTCCAAGCAAATCCAAGTCCACAAGGCTACTAGTCTAAGAAGAGTCACAAGTCCATATACTGTACAAAAAAAAAAGTGGCTTGGGACCAGACTCGCCCGAGTCCTCCATCACTATCAAGAGTTCCTTTAAAAATGGACAGGACACCGCCATGTCCTGTGAGCACACTACATTAATTTGTACATACCTGGTGATGGCTGCAAATGGGCACACAAAGATTGGTCGGCTTCAGTCCCAGATTGCAAGTTGCTTGGATAACATACGTTGGGGCACAGACCCTGTTGAGCACAAGTTCCAACCACTCGAAGCTCGCCCCCCTTTCGCACTAAGTTGGATGTCAGACTTGGACAGATTGAACAGTCTCTGCACCCATCATTGCAAAATTGTCTGCAAGACATACACGCAGGAGCAAGGCAGAATTAACAAGTTGCCTGTTCTAATATACTTTCAGCCAGGAACAGTTGGTTTCAAAGGCTGATTACAATATATGTCACTACATATATACAGGTACCTGTATACACTACTACTGAGCAACGTTCAGATAGAATTTACCCATCAGGGCATCCTGCACCGCCGTTACAATCCTGAGGGTTGTCTTGCCATATGATGATGTTAATCGATGTTACAGCGTGACCGTACATGTAGTTGGGCAAGATTAACGCTAACATGACAGGCAACACAATTTTCTGTAAAGAAAGGGTAGAACAATGTAATAAGTGGCTCTTTCACATAAACAAATCAAATAAAAAACATTTTGTCAAAATTGCTTATTGAGACTTCAATGAGTTTGTAGATTACACACTGTACATGTACACTGGAACAAGAAATGAGACTTTTTGTTCAGCCCTTTAGTGAAAAAGCAGATTTGTGTTAAATAACGTCAATAACACGAGCAATACTATGATGTCATTCCAGGGAGAAACTTCAATGTTGCATCGATTTAAAACACTGCTGTAATGTTTCAAATTGTGCTGTCCAAACTGTCCTGTTTCTTTGTGGTGCATAAACGTGTAGAAATATAGGCCAACAAGCAACCATTTCTCAGAAATGTTTCAGTTAGCAAAATTTTGGGTTTACAATTTGAGCAGCCTAACCTACATGTACATAAAATGAATTTTTCCCTGAATGGCACCACAGCAAACAGCCACCTCAGTCGTCCTGAGAAGCATGGACAATATCATACACGGTACATGTATGTTTCAAAAAGTGCACTTTACTTTGCAACACAATTAACCTGAAGTACAACAGCATGGCAAAAAGTTGCATGTATACATGTATAGAGAGTACCGCCAACATCAGACATGAACATTTGGTGTGCAGTACTGTGTGCTTATTGTCCATGTGCAGTGACGCATAATCCACCATTTTGGTTCGAACAATGTCTGAAAAATACATGTACATGTAGGTAGCATAGTAGTAGAGACAGGCTGGTCGGAGTTTTTATTTGTAGCTTGGTCAAAAGTACTTCTGAGGAAAATTGAAATGTTTAATAGCTGGCCTCAGAGTGTGGGCAAACAAAAATTACCTGGATTCGGGGAACCAATGTGGGGACTGGTACAGCTCCGTTTTCCATCTCAGAACTTGAAGTAACCTGAAAGAATATTAACAGATGAAACCTTCCACCAATTATGGCAAACAGAGATGTCTGAAGTGGGGATGGAGAAGGATGGATGTGATTTTTGCTGGGATATTGAAGATGGCAAAGAAGTGACGTACACTTATCCACATTCTGTGAAGGGGGGGTTTAAAAGCAATAAGGTACATGTACATGTACATGAAGCACCTTTATGGCCAATAATTTGCTGATTAAGTCATACAGTCACATTGTAAAGGCCTCTTGTCCCCTCCCAAATAAATAGCCTCTGCTAAGAAACTAGCAGTACACGCATGTACATGCATACGTGTATGGCAAAATGTACATGTACATACTGTCTACTGTACATAGCTCCATCATTAACATGTACATGTATCTTGATCATGACACCGAGGATGGACTGTACTCGTACACACATCAGTAATATACATGTAAGCATATTACATGCACATGACCAGAATTGCAAGGCACTTGTGTCATACATGTGTATGGTACATGTACCTAATGCATGTAGGTGCTTGTACATGTATATCATATATTGTACCGGTATTGTGCACATATTATGAACTGGGTTGAATGCCACATCTGAACTTTACCATTTACTCGTAATTTTGATAAGTGTACAGAATAGTGATTACAGAGCATGTACATGTATTGTGTGCGTCAACAGGTACAAAATTGTACATGTACTTGGCAATATCGCAGTGCATACAATGAGAAATAGGTTAGTGGGTACACCTTGGAATCAATCTCTTTTGGCATGTTTGGGCGAGGTGTGGATCTTAAAAGAACAGTGAGTGTTAACTCAACGTTTCAGCCAGTGTGTTCTGGCCATCCTCAGGAGAGTACGCCAGACAGGGGTGGATAGCTTGTAATTGGTTATAAAGATAATCCCAAAGCGGTGGAGCATGGAACGGGATTTGCGGGTTGTGTAACTCAGCGTGTGCGCTGTTGCGTGAAGGTGTTGGATCCTGTGGCGGTGTGGGGTGACAGAATTGGCGGGAAACCCAGGGTTGGGGTATAGGGGGACCCTTATGCCAAGGGGGGAAGGGGGCTGCTTCGAGTAGAGAAGACAAGTAACGCCTGGAGTGGGGGCATGGGTTTCACAGGTATAGGGGACCCTACTACCCGGGAGTGGGTGTCTGCTTGGGTGCTAGTAGTGGGCGCCAGATATCGCTGAGCTTGAAACTGATGTCTTGGGGTGCAGTGTTGTGCCGGAAGATCTCAATGGCTTCTCGAATTCCTCTTCGAAGCCAATTCTGCATAGGGCGATGAGTTCTGCTTTGTCCCATTTAATGCGGTGGTCCGTGGAGTGTGCATTTTTGATGATGGCCGACTTGTTATATTCTCCTCATCGGCCATGCGAATGGTGTTCTTGGAGTCAACCTCTCCAAGCCCTCTTGTGATTCTGTGTTGGTAAACTCTTATTCAGCTTATCATTAGCTACATGTACATGTACATGAATGTGTATGAAACTATGATAAGTAGTAGTACATGTACATGAATGTGTACTTGTCTTTAATCTTCAACCCGGGGAAAAACCAACCTAATAATGAATACATATACATGTAGATAACCAAAGAGATACATGTAAGAACTACTGGACGTAAATCTCCTACATGTACATGTACAGTTTTCAAACATCCTCCTAACCAGAGCATTATACAATGTACACGTATAAATAAAGGCCTGTTGGTCATTTTGTGGTTTAAAGTGAGGAACATTTAAAGAATTTTGCCCACTGGTTTGAAACTCCATGCAAATTTGAAGTTGCAATCTTCATGTGTACACACGAATAACATTTCTACAGCAACAATGCAGGGGAAAAATTAATGTTCTTCATGACAATTGTTTTCACACTTTAAAGCTACTTTCCATATCAAATCATGACACGTGTGCAAGTGTATACAAGTATGATGTACATGTACATGTACATGTATGCCTGTGTGTAAAGCTGAAAGTGAAAAATGCAAAATGAAACCAAGCATACCAAGAATTCCCAGGCTACTATGAAGGAATAAAAAATGTGTTAATCCGGTAGCAGTTTCCCCTTCTGTACTGCTGCATCAGTCCGGTTCACACGCAACCCGGAAGCATAGAAAATGTACATCAACACATACATGAACATGACAAAGTCCATGCCTAGATACTATAGCAAGGTCATTGGTTAGGGCGTGACATACATCATGTACATGTATCCTATCAAATGAATACTGTCATTTCCCAGAGACATTTTCTGATATAACAAGGCACATGAATGGATTCAGCTACAGACAAGACAATGAACTTGAAGTACACGGCCACATCGATAAAAAAGAGGATCAACCATGCTCGGATGTGTACTGGTACCCGGTACATATACGTCATCTACCGGTACCGGCAACCAGGATGCTTAATTGGTCCAAGTTTTGGAAGGATATGTACAGTGCGTACATTGTACACTTACATGTACATGTGTACAATGTGCCACAGGGCAGGCTTTCACCATTTCATGCAATTGATGTATGAAATGGGACAGGAGAAATCACGGCCAGTAGATGTACATTGTGCACATGTACATGTACCTGTAGCATTGTTCTGCTACAAAACTGGTACATGCGCGGTCCGGATTTTAACACTTCCCCGTTCCCTTCATGTTCCTATTTTTTCTCACATTAGATACCAGTGAAGTTGTACGATTACATTGTGTATATACATGTAATATACATGTACATGTCCCCGCTACATAATTTTCCTGAAAAATATTGAAGGGTTGTGTATATCAGCAGAATATCGACAAGAAGATATATCAAATTAGTGCTCTGAAATATGTGATTGCCGAGCTTTCGGTGACTGAATACCTTCTTCAGGACAAGCAGATTCAGACTGAATCTCGGCAATCACATATTTCAGAGCACTGATTTGATATTATATATTCTTGTCAATACATAGTTTTCCTTGCTGTTTCATATTTCAAAGTGACAATGTCTTTCTGTCCCCACGAGGTTTTCATAAGCACATATAAGTTCCCATGCCAGAACAAGGGTATTTGTACTATTAAGCACATGCATATCTATACATGCATGTTTGAGCATGTTGACTGTAATATATGGGCATTTCACAATAGTGCACCTCCAAGATTTACGGCGTGTTGGCCAATCACAATGCACAAAAATCTGTCGACCCAGTGCGCATTTGAAAAAATGGTCAACAAATTGAGCGAATTGTGATTAGTCAACGTGTTGCAAACTCTTAGAAGCGTACTCTTGTGAATCACTCATATTGTGGTAAACTGATAATAGAGATACTGTACATGTACAAGTAAACATGCCTTTGTGCCTTGTATTTCGTGGTCTGAGAGACTTGAGTACTTGTCGAAAGACAGTGGTAAAGTCAACATTCTTGAACTGGTTGGCCATCATACAACTTGAATATGCAATCTGAATCAAGCACATACGGGTACATGTAGTAAAATCCATCACAACAAGTCCTCTCTCCAAGTCCGGTTGTAAACTTTTACAGGGGCACACATGGTGAACAATGGTGCAGGAACATACTAGTACATGTATGTTATGGTAATTTTGCCAAAGAACGGCTTGAGACATGGCTGGAGACTACATGTAGATGACTTCTGATAGTCTTGTTTCCATCTTACAGTGGGCACTGGCTACAAAATGGCAACATCATAACTTACATGCAATCCTTCTGAGTTGCCAATTGTATACATGTACATCCCTACTTTGATCACTGCCATAATTCCTAACACTGTCCAATAAAGGACAGGTTGCATTATGGTTTACAAGCAAGTCCCCAATTATGGGTGTCATACATGTAGGCGCACAGGGGCAATGTCATGTCAACTGATGACAGTGACATTAGACAAAGATGGTCCATGCTGAAGTTAACAGGCTTGAAACATAATTTTATGAGGAGTCACAAACTGCACCAGTAAATTTGGAGTTGAGATCTCAAATCTCAGTAGAGGCACAGATCACAACTCACAGACTGTCCCTAAATATGGAGAAGTCCCTTAATTTGGAGACAAAATCTGTCCCTAAAAACAGAGAATGTCCCCCTAAATGGGGACTTTTTTTTAGTGGGCTTGGGGAGCCTACCATTGCTCTGGGTATCCTTTTAATGCCATAATTGGATTCAGTAGAAACAAATGCCCCAGGCTGCCATTAAAAAAAAAAAGTACCAAATCCATGTACATGTAGTAGGAGTCTGCAATGGGACAGAAAGGGTGGGAAAAATGTATCACAACAATTTTTCCGAAGATCAATCCTTTATATACCGGTAGTACACGCACAAACTTCATAAAAAAACAACTGAAATAACTCAGATGAATGGAAAATATTGGAGAAAAAATAATTATAGCGCAGAGATACTTATAACCCAAGCCCACATGGGAAAACAAGTCCCCTTTTAAGGAGACATTCCCTCTTTCTGGGGACTGGTTTTGTCTCAAAATAAAGGAACTTCTCTCAATTTAGGGACAGAATCTGAGACTGAGTTGTGATATTCAACTCTACTGCATTTTGCCACCAAAAATTCATGCAATAGTAATCAATTCAAGCTTATGTAATAGTGGACTGATGTACATGTATTATTCTATAGGTTTTTCTGTACTTAATGTGCACAACTGGAAGTTTTCTACAAAATAAACATAGCAGGCCTATGCATCTGTAGACTGTACTGTAACATGCACGAATCACTAGTGGTTCACACATGCACATGTATGTACATGTACAGTGTATTGTCAGACTACGTACATGTACACGTATTGTACATGTATATGACAGACACCACTGTATTATGGTTACAATGCTGGCTGCATGTGACACAGAACACAGCAAACATGGCAAAGGAGGCCATCTTAGTCAGTTAGTGCTTTCTGATATTGGTAGCTAATATTACTATTTTATTTAGCCTACCAATTATGATGGGAAAAATACCTGTCCGTACCGAGGTCTGTCTGTCTGCAAGCTACCCTAAAAACTGGTTCGCACGTTCTTACTCGTACAATGTATTGGTAATACATCCGTAATAAACAATGTTGGCCATAAACGATGGGAATATTCATCTATCCGGTACTGCATTGGATTTTCAGTCATGTCAGTAATAGGAAGAAAATCCGGAAATAAAGTTAAACGCTGGCCGACAAACGTGTAATGATGAACATGTACAAATATCGTGCTGTGCACGACCACACGACATCGTGAAGCCGAAAACACGAGTGACGTACGTAACGTTTTAATGATTTCACCATTTTCGCATGTGCATGTGGATGCAATTATGGATTCACAACAAGACTTACCGAATGCAAGCAACGTTACATCAAAAATCAAGCTACGGAGGAAACACATCCATCATCAGTGTATCGAATCACGCCTCTAAAAATGAATTTTTGGGTAAAATTGAAAATTCACATCCGAGCCAGTTTCCACCTGCTTTATTTCCGCGGGAATTCCCCTTTTGCTCACCCTCCGCTCCATCCGCGTAACATAATCGCGTCGTCATACCACGTGACTTCCACGAAGAATGCAAACCGCCCCCTGTTGAAAGGTTTTCAACCTCATTCCCGCGGAATAAGTTCCCTAGGAATGAGGTCAACCTGTAGATTTCTACGAAACGCGCGAGCTCATTTTTATTTTGTGACCCCCATACGTTTTTTTCTTTTTTTACAATAAGAGGTGCCATAATCGTGACTGATCAGGAGAGATATTTCTACAAGTCACGTATTTGGGACGTGTGGTATTTCATTTACAAAAATCTCGAACCTCTGAGCCGATTTTGCAAAGAGGCTACACAGACGGCTACATTTAGATCTGATGCATCGTTTCACTGCTATTTTGGGGGCAGGGCGGATATAAAAAAATTGCATTGCTTACCCTTATAAAAATGAAAAGAAAAACTGAAGTTCTAGCCATAGGCCTAATTTCTTGAATTTTCTTGAATTCTGTTCGAATTTGCACTGTTTGTTATGGTTGGAGGTTCCTGATGATCCCGGCAGAACCTATTTCAATTCCACGAGGACCAGCGCGGGAAGATCCAAAGAGCCGACGCGAAATAAGATTCCCTCCCATTGTGGAAAAGTATAGGCCTACATTGAGGAGACTATTTGGGTCCCATCTCTACCGGACCCATCCATGACAAAGCTTAGTGTTGAGGGAAATTACTCGTCGGTCACTGTAGACCCAAAGCACTCGCTCTTTGCAAACAGCACAGACTGTCCTTCACTGAAGGTGAGATCCGCCACAATATACCACCGCATCACGAACTGGCGTCAGAAGTCATATGTCATCTGCATCAAGCACTGGTACTCAATCCTCACCACACACACCATATCAAAAGTAACAGCTTACCCATATAGGCTACAAAAACGACCAGACATTAGTGAAATGTGGCTTACCATCTCCTGGTCTCGCGATGCAGTGCAGTGGGTCTTCAATGGATCGGTGTAATCCCCCTCCCATCCAGTGGGGACTCTGACCTCTGGCGCCCCGCTGTCCCGTTTACCTCGATATCTCCAAACTGACATGGGTCTTGACCGCCTTTAGCATACCCTTTGCTTCATCGTACTGATCTTCCCCAGAACGCCTCGCGCACTGCTCCCATTTCCGACAAGGTTGGTATTATTTTCCTTGTAACTTCCTGACGACGTGTAGATGATCCTCCGAAACGCTGAATCCTGACTCACTCGATCACAAAAGAGATTCATATGTTTCTGCATACCTTTGTCTTGAAGTTACGTCCAACAGGCATGTAAACGTTAAAATTACATCCCTGAAATGAAGGGTCCTCCCTAGCGCCCTTTATACCACGCACGTACCGGCACATGCACTTATGGCGCTCAGCAACGTGCATGTCATGCACTATTGCACAATACATGAAAGATTAGTTGTTCAATTCCTATACAGACTATCTTTGTTTGCAAGTTGTCATTTTTTTTTCATGGTGTCAGCAAGAAGTTGGTGTACTTGTATATTTAAAACATGTAATAATTTGACATTTTTGATACCCAAACGAAGAACCACTGGGCTGGGCTAATTATGTGGTACCAGCGGGAAAATGTTGTGGGGATGAGAGACGAGTCAGGGTATACGCGTTGCTACATCTACAAGTGGTTCTGTCTTTTTCCAGAGCAATGACTTTCACTGCTACCCCCCCCCCCGGCTGGAAAGAGCAAAACACATGTCGTGACCTTTGTTGGGTGCTCATTTGATTGGTTCATTTATTTTTAGACAGTAGGCCTACGGATCGTTCGGCGTGCGCATCCAGGTGTGCACGAGTAAATTTTTATGCCTTCTTTTCATACGTTGTATGTGAGATATTGATAGATGTTATTCGTCCGTGGTGACTGTAGTACACTCCCCAGTTTTATGTAGACTGTGAATTGCTCGTGTTGAAAACAAGGCTTTGCTGGTTCTTTGCACTTCCTGTGGTGTATATGTCATTCTTGAAGTCTCATTTGGAATTCCCTTCTTTCGGAACATATCATGAAGTTACATTCATACCTGCTTAGCTTGTTTTAGTAGCCTTGTAACAAGTTACAATATATAACATAAACCTGAAGTAAAAATTCACCATTAAAATACCAAATGCATATAGCTGCTATACCAAGTCGTACTGAAAGTGACCCAACAAATCCAAACAAAATCAGCCAGTTTCAAAGTATCTTGAGTCACAAGTTGAATGAGGAAAATAACAAGCATTTCAGAAAGTAGCTGATTAGTAGTATAAACTAGAAGACAGCATGAAAAAAGGAGGGAACTAAGAAACACTACATAACACAGCCCAGACTACAATCAGTAACACATAGGAAAGTAAATGTAAAAGAGAAATGGTGACGTGATGGGCTGACAGTCAACTGGCCACTTACTAAAAACTATGCTTTATTAGAAACGATTATAACAAACTAAAATAAACGCTACATCGAAAACAAAAGCCAAACCAAAACAAATGGATGCAATCCTGTTCCTCAATAAAAATACTGGTAACTTAAAAGAGCTAATATAAACTTAAAAGATTTCAAAGCAAAAGATAGATAGCATATAAAATATAAAGCAAATACTGCAATATGTGGGTAAGTAAATGTAAAAGAAACATTGATATAATTTGTGGTTAAAACCGGCTTAAAGTCAACTGGCCACTAACCCAAAACTATATGAATACAAAAACCAAACCAAAACTAACCTTAAAAAATTTAAAGAAAAAACCGCAAAACTAACCGATTAAGGCTTGTTCCTCAGAAATAACTCAAAAAGCTTATATACCAACAACAGTTGTCATAACAGCGTTGCACAAAAGCGTACTTGCTGCGAGCTAATAATGCTAGTAGCTGTATGATTACGCCCAACATACGTTTACATAATATAGATTAAAATCAGTAACATATAGGTAAGTAAATGAAAGATTTAATGAATGATTATTTATTGGATTAAGGACGAGATAGGACGAGATCAGTAATTAAAAACCTTGCGATTCCCATTTGAAACCAATGACTAAAGGTGTCGGAATCTGTTCGTCTGCCTGTCTAGTCAGTGCCTTAAATGCCCGTTCCTGAAGTTTTTCCTTAAAGTGTCCTTCCTAAAGAGAGCATGTGTTGGCGGTATACGGTACTCAAAACGGACCCACAACCAACGTTTACCTTGATATAGCCGCTTGTCTAGGCTCACCAAAGGGTTGGTAAAGAGGCCGGAGCGACCTTTGGCGAAAGACGGCCGGCGCCACAAGTAGATTATCGTTCTCTAAGTGCAGTTCAGTTGTTAAATTCTTTTAAAAATCCAGGCAAATAGACCCCGGTGGCTGCCTCATGCAGGCACACACGTGCCTTGAGGAGTTTCGAACTCTCATGACTTTAGAATATGTCTCAAACTTATGAGGTCCAACTAATTGTTCATTCACAATCTAGTGGGCTATCACACACAAACTCTGGTCTACTTGACACTGGTTTGGTGATGTGTGCTTGCTCACTGAGATTGAGATAACGATCTGAAATTCAATGAAGCAGAAAATCATTAATACGAAAACTGCAATACATTCTAACAATCAACTTGGCAAGGTGAGTCAAAGTCTAGTCACTAATTTGCAAATGTCATGCCTGTTATAGTTTTACGACTCAAGGTGTCAATAAATCACAGAAATAAACCAAAGGTATCTGAATAATTCGAAACTTGAACCCGAATCTGGAGCATTCAGTTTGAACTAATTCTGCATAAACACTATGGCATTACATGAACAGCACAGTGTTGGTCACATGTAGAAGAATAGTCAGGGATGACTGAATGATTATCCTCTCAAATATTCCAGGAAATCGCAGGAAATAGGAACAAATAACTTAAGCTGTCTTATCTAAAGTGCTCTAAAATATAAACGAAAATACTTCTTACCGAAACGGGGGTTTCTTGAGTTCCACAAGAATTAATAAACTAAATATTACTTGGATTGACTTCGTGAGTTACAAATGTGAAAAAGTCTTGAATCTAGCATGGCAAAAAAGATGGCTGCCTATGCAACCTCAAACTCAAAGTGTGTGCACCAGCGCATCCACTTACATAGTGACTCTAGGAAGGAGGTAGACAAGCTCTTTCACTTACTAACAAAGAAAGGTTTGCAATATTCTCTTTCAAAAAATAATAAGTCTTAATCGTGTTGTTGATGTTTACCAAGAGAATAAAAACAAAGCAAATTATTTACTGCACAGGCTACTCCAGTGACAACCCCCTTCCCCGATCAACCCACACTCTGACCTTTTCAATTGTTTCTCCCCGCACAGTGCCTTTAATGCAAGTGAAACCTTGTACACGTACAGAGTTGAACGTACACGAATGTCTTATAACAGACTTCATCATCAGGGTTATTAGATTACTTGGACCTAAAAAGAAGACTTTTGGGAGGTATTATTCAAATACAGCATGGTTTGAGCGGAAGTAGTGGGAATTACTGGTCCCGAGGTGTGGGTCAGCTTGACAACCTCCCGACGCGGAGGGAGGCAGTCAAACTGACCAACACCGAGGGACCATTAATTCCAACTATTTTCCCGAAATAAACCATGCTGTATTTGTTTTACTACACTTCATAAATATTCAAACAGAAGTCTCACGTTACTTGTACTAACCGACGCCATTGTTGTTTCTCAGCTGCTTAATTCCCATGTAATGATAGTGGAGTGCACATGTGCATAGAAACAGCTTTTGCTTCAATAGTCTGGTGCCGACATACGTTTCAGGTCTTTACTGTAATAGTTATTAGGATACAACTCCAGACTGGTTCCGTCAAGATTACATGACACAGTTTACATATTAACGCGGCGGGATCCAGAGGGATTTTTTTATGCTACCAGAAAAAAACTACCGCACGGCAGCGAGGTGGATACTCACCACTACGCATCACCTGGTAGCGTATCATTTCTACTTCCCAGACGCGACGTGGAATCGGCCAATTACGCGCGCTCATATTTTCTCAAGAATATTTATGAGGTGTAGTAGTACAATTCACCCTTTTGCACCGCAAAGACACACCAGCGTTGTAGCGAGTATTAAGTATATACCAGCGCGAAATTACGTCATATTGATTGGAAGTTGTTTTTCAAGAGCCGGTGTGGTCTCCGTTAAGAGCTGTGCGTTCAAGAAGTTTCTTTGACCGTGTTCCACTAAAGCACTCCGTATAATCCGTGCCACTTTTAGGTTTAATTCGCTCTCGGTTGTTTCTACAGCGCGTGTGTGTGTTTGGCTCTTGGTGTGATTACTAAATTTCCAAACACCAACGTCTGGCTTTTTAAGAGTACTAGTGGCTATCCCAACTAAATTGATAAATTCCGATAAATTCTTCATCTTAAATGCTGAATTGTATCGTTTTTCGTTGAAACAAAATGGCTCCAAAGAAAATGGCACAGCCACTTGTGTGACAACACTATAGGGCGTTTTTGAAACGAGTGAATTCGGCTTAGAATGTAGTTTCGCTGTTCTTGTCAGAGCTTCAACCTGTGGTTTCGAACGGTGCTGCAAAACGGACGAAACCAGAGAGACCAATGTCTAAGCCAAATCCACTTGTTTCAAAAACGCCCATAGATTTAATAAACAGGATGCATTTATCTGCAGATTAGCCGTTTGCCTTGCGCATAGAACCTATAGTACGCATTATCATCAAATCACTATCTGTTGTTATTCCCTGGATCTCTGACGAGGTTCGTCTGTTCTGCGTTTCACTGCTCGTCCAGCTTAGTCTCTCCTTTGTATCCGGGCTGCTGCGCCACTCTGGCTTTAAGGGCGTTTTGCGCCGCCACCAGGCCCCACTGAGGAAGTCTGGTCTTTCCCGACAGCATCGATGGGACCTAGTTTCCGAAGCCAAGAAACCTCAATTATCAGTCTTTCAAATGAAACAGTAGAATGCCAGTTAAAGATCATTAATGTGGATATGACCAATTAAATGTTAGCCAGGTCTAAAGTAAATCAGGAGACTGCAAATTGTTATCGTATTATATTATTATCAAACTGAGAGCGCGTGGCCAAAATGAAGCGCCTGGAGATGCGAAGTCAATCAGGAACAGCAATGTGTACGCCTGGTCCGTTCTATCAAAGAGGCTATGGACCGAGTGTCATCCGTTCTACTCGCATTCGAGCGGAGCTACTATGGGCCGATTGGCTCGCTTGCAAAGTTTGATCGAATGGCCTCAGAATTTTCAAACTCCAACTGGCTCAACGTATCTGTCCATGAAGCAATCGTTCCGAAAAAAGCACCGATGGATGCTACAATAAAGTGGCACAACTATGGTGCAATTCCAAAAACCTTGTATTTTCAAGGGGACACAGAAAGTATATGCCCTATGCATGCTGCAATCTGTAGAAAGTGATATGATTATCATATCATTTGAGACAGACCTATTTGTGATTGGAGTTAGCCATTTGAAGTTGTGCACATCGCTTTAGCATACCTCTAATGAAGTGCCAATGACGCAGCCAGCTTGAAGAAATTCCCTCTTCATTTTTTCGACCTTTTCAAAGCTAGTGCACCTGGAGGCGTCCTCGATTACCATGACCCGGTAGCCAAGACGTTGACCGTCGAGAGAAGTCATTGCCACGCAAACGTCAAAGGCCAATCCGCAGACGTAAATGTCGATGACCCCTCGCACCTTGAGGTCGGCTACCAATGCTGCGTTGACGCGTTTCTTGTTGTCGATGAACGCGGAGTAGCTTTCTACATCGGGATCGGTGCCTTTCAAGTGAACAAGGCTGTCCTTCACAAACTGTGGAGGATAGGCATTGCACTGTTAGAAGATTCCAAGTTTTTGTTTAACATATTTTAATCAAATGGAAAATATGAGCATCAGAGGGTAAATCAATACATGAGTAAACTATAAGGTGACTGAACCAAAAAAAAATGAGTCTTCTCGTTGAGTACATTTTAGAGTAACAAGTTTTCTACCAAATAGTTAACTAATCAGGAGGGAACAAAACTATGGAGCTCTGGAAGTGCCATCCGACTTGTTCATATACTGAGATAATTTATCTTTGTAAGTCGACTTACATAAGTTATGTTGCAAGTTGACTTCATAATTCTAGTAAAGTCAACTTGGCGAGATAATCCATGTCATCAAGTGTACAACATGCAGGCATGAACTGACTACTCACAAGTGAACGTGACCTGCAGCGTATTTTCTCGCCAAGCCGACTTACTTGAATTAGGAAGTCAACTTTATAACATAAATTATCTCGCCAAGTCGATATAGGGAACTCTGGAAGCAGGCGTGATGTCATAAAATATCTCGCGATGTCGACTTACTATACTTAGGAAGTCAACTTAACTACAACATTTATCTCGTTAAATTGACTAAATACGCTTTATAAGTCGACTTACAAAGATAAATTATCTCAGTATCTGAACAAGTCGGATGGCACTCACAGAGCGCCGTACAAAGCTGAAGTGCATGGGTATTTGATGGTACATGCAGAAAGGTAAGTAAAATGATGACTTCAGACGATCACTTTTTCATAAGAATTAAGTTTTAGGACACAAGTACTCGACATGTATTGGATCGAGTACTTTGTAAGTACTTTTCTGAAGTCATTTAGTTTGTATTGTTACCTTGTGCATTACAAATACCAATGTACTCCAACTTCATTCCCTCTTACCAAGCTCAATATTTTGAAGAGAACCTTGGTACTCGAAACGGACTCGATTACAGCACAACGCAATGTCCGTTTTCTAATGAAAACGAAAATTGCTGAGAAACGGCCTTAAGACTTACTTTGAAGGATCTGATAACAAGTACGGTGTTACAAAAGTAATGTCTAAACACATAGGTTCCTTATTCGATAAAACTTTCAGCTCGGAATGAGAAAATCAGTTTAACTTCTGACGACTCGAGAATTCACAGGTTTTATTTCAAAATGTGAAATCACTTCTCCTGAAAAACAGTTGAATTAAGTCCTCTTCGGACAATGTAAAGCCCATTTACTTTCAAATCAGGGTGTAGTTCAGCTCCTTTTGTACCCTCTACACAGTGAGCCGGCCAGAGGGTCTGTTCGACGAGTGGTTCGCTGTCGAAGATAACTGTGTCGAACATCTTGGCTTTTTCGGTGTTGACCTAGCGTTTCAGAATGAAAAAAAAAAGATGTTAACGAGTTGAAGGTACCGGATGTATAAGGTGAACGTGGAAAAGTCAAAACACCAACCCAAACATTTCTTCATTGAGTGACCAGGACTTTAAGATACCTCAACTGTTCATTATTACAGCGTTCAACGTCCGTATTGGAATAATAACATGTAAAATTTTCATGTAAATAGTAACCAGTGTCAATTCAACACCACATGGTGTTACTTATGGTGTCTTAACGGCTTGAAAAAAGAGTTGGAGTCATTTTAATAGTTGGTGACTTGAATTCGGATTGGAGGTCTTGTGTTGGTCTTGTGAAGGTCTTAAGTGGTCTCGGCAACAAAACTGATATGTGCACTCTTAAACAAGTTTAAGAAGCGGAACAGAGATGTTTATTGTTCATCATTTCGACCAAAATAGTTACATGACTTGATGGATGGAGTTTCCTCAGATTCAGATTTTTGAAGAAGGACACATGATCGGGTGGGTGGTAGTCCTTGGTGTAAACCACAACATCAAAGGCCAAGTCCAAAAGCCTGAAGGAAAAACAGGAGAATTAAATTGAAAAGCGACTACCTTCACTTTCAGTGCGCGTGGAATGCCTGACCTCCTTACTCAAGCGTGTGTCCTCATCAACATAATGGCAACAGCAAGAAATCAACTTAAAAAAACATTCCTGGAATCAGTGCAAAGAAGGTCTCTACTGTGACGTTTTTGGTAGTGCTTTATGCAAGGTCCAAGTATAAGCTTTTGATGGATTTATTTTAATGAATATTTACTAGAGGTGGATATTATTACAATTACTGTTTGCCACTTCTGATATCCGTAAGGAAATTACAGGGTGGAGCCGCTGAATGACTATAGGCTATGGAGAGCAGGGACACGTGCCCCACAGCTATGCATGGAAGACACTATTGAGTGTCTGAAAACGTATGATACGTCTGGTCTTTGGGATAGCATACCTATTAATGACAGGTAGGACTTCTGCGCCATCTTGGCCGGCTGGTGAGTTTCTCAGATCCATGGAACCGTCCACAAAGTCATTCTGAACATCTACCACAATCAGGGCTGCTTTGGGATTTAATATCTGAGCAAAGGCAAAGGAGTAGTGTGTTGGGACCTTGTTAATTGCTTTTATGCAAATGTTTGTATGTCATCAGGACTTCATTTTCATAACTGATTCATAATGAGGTAGACCAAGCAAATCCTACACTCTATCGGTCACAATGTTCAGGAGGAAATGAACTCATTAGAGAAGTGCATTTTTAAGGGACCAATCACAGCAGTGTATTGATAGTACATTTGTATTTGCAGTGCATCACTTGACCCCTAGGCCTGTAAGAACCTTTTAACAATTTCAGCAAATAGAGTATTATTGACTGGTGCTTTCACTTGTCACTGTACGCGAAAGACTTAGCAGTTAGATCCACTTACTGTTTAAATTCATTTAATTGTTCAAGGAAATTATTACCAAGATATCAAATAACTATTCGAATATCGGCTCAACACACTTCCATTGATACAAAAAATTACAGAATGTTCAACAACGATCTCATGATTTCAAGTGGAGCAAGCGTTACCCACAACTACTTTCAAACACATTAAAACAATTTAATGTAGTCTTAGCACCGTCTGTTGATTTAGTTGTTTTGTTTTTTTTTCATTTTCACAATATCTCTGCTTCTCAGTTAAACCCCGAGTGTCCTCAATGTAACACTTTGAAATACCTATTCCTCTAAAAGTGGCAGAGGTGAATATTTTCTTTTATACCAAAGGTACTACTGGGTCATTTAAAAAAGTGCAATAAACTTTCTGAAACTTTTTGAGTTTTTAATCACCTGTCTTCCCAATTATCTACAACTTTATTCTGTTGTTAAAGTCAGCGTATTTTGGCTTGCTTAGCTTTCAGGAATATTTTATTGGGGCTTTGTTTATTAAGTGCCTCTTATTTACTTCTTCCTTGAGATTTTTCACAATATCTTGGTGAGTATCATTATCTTCCAGATGTAGGTAACTTGACAAAGAATCCTCCCACTTGTTGAAAAAGATTTGCTTGACTGCCCAGAGGGTCTTCCAATCCACCTAGAGCAGAAACACCCTCTCATCGGCTGAGAAGAGCCGCATCGGTCGGGAGTGTTCAATTTGCTGGTAGCAATGCGATCGTGATGCGTACATTTTATAGTCATTCGCGAACAAGCGAAATGTAATTTCGACCAAAGGTGCAAAGAAAAAAGTCCCATTTCTTGGGCCAGCTCCAGGCGCACTGGATTATTTCCTTGGCTTAATCTCATTTAATATACCCACAGAGGCTCGGTGCTTTTCAGCGGCTTCAGTTGCCTCTCCCGACCAGTCTAGATAGGCGGCATTGTCACCCATTTCAAAATTAGTCGTCTAATAATCAGCAACCAATGATTCGTGATGACTTAATGTATAAATTTACATTAAGTGTCTTATCAAGGCCCAAATAAACTCACTCAAACAGCCCGTTTTAAGAATAATTATTTTAAAATTGTTTCTCAGTGGGGTGCACTGAGAACACACAACCAACATGGTTCTTGTGTGTCCGCCATAGGCGTACGATGCCGGCTGGGAACTTTCTACCCGCCTGTCTCTTCGTTACCGTTGGGGGTGCACTGGAACTCGAGGTGGATAAGGTATGTAATTTTCATTTCCGGGTGTTTTAAAATGAAGGAAATGTATTTGAAACCTTGACTTTCCTAATAGTATACGTCCTTCACCGAATTAATTATGTTGAAAGTGGTTTGGTAGTCAGACCCCCAAAACTGGCGAAAATGATCTTAACCTTGAAATAAGGTAAGTGACCTGATAAGAAACAAAGTGCCTAATCTGTGGCACAAATTGAAACAACTTAGATTTTTTTTACCTGCTTGAACCAATTTTTCCAGCAGAAGTCAAAGTCATTCTTGTCGATTACCCCGCTCTGTGGAAGATGTATATTTCAGTGTTAATATTCCCGTGTGATTATGATAAAACGTTGACAGTCAAGATTTTTTTATGGCAAAAGTATACTAACAGCCTACTCAGTCATTGTGAGGCAGAATCCGCCATTTCATATTTATAGACAGACATTTTCAAATACAAATCTGACGAACGAAGTTAACGCTTGAACCACCAGAATCACTCACCCTGTTCGCTGTACAAGCTTCACAGCACATTTAGTCGTTATTCTCAGTGTTCCTATTTTTCAACGGTAAATTTTACATGTGGTGTAAGCCAACACGGCAGTTACACAACGCTTGTGGGCAAGTGGTACGCGTCCATTCGACCAATAGGAGGCTGGGACCTGCCTAATACGCATGTGCGGGTGTGGTGACACTATACTGCAGTTATCGCGTCGCTTAGGATTAGTCTATACCGGTCAGTGCCGTAGCCAAGGGGGCCCCCCACAAATTCCCGGTGCCCCCCGACTAACAAAAAAAAAAAAGATGAATTGATATTGAACAATGCTAACAACCCCCCCCAAAAAAAAACTCCACTGAAAAGTGGTGCCCCAATAAAATGCTGGTTCCCCCTTCTGCCCCCAGTAAAATCCAAGCTACTCCACAGAAACCAGTGGCTGGTAAACTATGGTTAGCAGTCAGAGCAGAGGAAAAAGCGTATTTCATAAGGTGCTAATAATTATTTTGGGGTATCTTGAGATCTACTTATTATTTAAAATACTAAAATACATTGTCAAATCAAAAGTATTCGGGAAAATTCCGTAACTGCTAGCTACTGTTCCACAACTGGCGATGCTGGCACCGGTACGTATCAATTTAATGCTATAGGCTTTACGTTGCCATACGGTCCACCACGAACAACATCAGGGCTTAAGCTTAAAACCTTGTCTGCCATTATTTTTGATCAGTCTTCACAGACCCAGAGCATACTTACGTGACCAATAAATTTAAATCTTAACAAAATAGAAGTTTCTGCAAATTATAGTCACCCCCATAAAATTTACATGTAGGCAATAATAGAGTGACCACATTTGGACCGGGGATTAAAGTGCAAACGAATGGCATATGCCCATGAGTTGGTTCGCACAATGGTGGTGTTGTTTTGTTTTAATGGCGATTTCAGTAACTCAGGCTTTTTGCGCCAATAACTATAAGTTCATTCATACACTTCAATAATCAGCATTACATTATGGAGTTAGGAAGAAGGTCCAGTTTTAGAGGCAGGAGGAAACCGGAGTACCCGGAGAAAACCTGCGAAAGCGAATACGGACTGGAAACTAAATGCACTTATTAAGCCTTGGCCAAGCCGGGACTCGAACTCGGGCCTTATTGGTGCAATACGCAATGGTTCTCACGTTAATGTCTTTTATGTCGCGTGATGGATTCACTTAATTACTCTATATACATTAATCCCGCCCCACTGCTTTCTGACCACTCACAACCGTGATTTACATTTGACAAGCATGCACGAAGATTCGATAGGTGCTAATGGACAGGCGGTGTGGCATTCGAGAAGGGCACGTGTTAAGTGCCAAAAGGTGCAGCGGTCAGGGCTTACTGGATTGGTGTATCCGCTCCAAGCGGATAAAAGAGAAGACGTATCTTAGCGTGGAAACGACTGTCCTTTACAGGGAACTCACCGCGTGCCCTGCAAGTTTCAAAGTTGGTGCAGATCGAGCTATAGACTTGAAATCAAGTCGGTAATATTGGCCCGGTGAAGTCCACCTTCCTTGCGATGAGTCTGTTACGTAGCTTGAGCTACTATTGGTACTCTCAATGGAAATATGAATATGCAGTTCGGTTGTTGAAACATGAATAACCATTCATCAGAATCACGTTGATCAAGTCGCAAGGCGGGCACAGTCAGGTCGTGGACTGCGACGTGCGCCGAAACCCGGTGTGGCGGTCTCAGCTGTCTCCCAGTCTCAGCGGTCCCCACTTACGTAGCCGGACATTTCAGGACATGAAGCACGGTCTCGTTGGTCCTCCGTGCTGAGATGTCCGCATAACAGCGAAGTTACTACGTTTAGGCCAAAGGTACGATATACTAGAACTATATAAGCGGTGCTATTATCTTTGGTGTAGGCCTATGTACATTACGTCACGTACATGTACATGTACTCAGCACGCCACTTAAACGGACGACTTTGCTGTTGTGCGCAGAGATGGCATGACGTATTTTTACCATATTTGGTAAGGGGGACCGCTGAGAACGGGGACAGCTGAGACTGCCACACCGGTACTGAACAGCCCACGGCTATGCGTCGTAAGGTATGGGCCAAATCAGCGTGGCACCCTGGATGGATCACGGGCAACGGTGACCGGGTTCAGTGCTAAATGTAAAACGACGCAGCATGCTGACTCATATGGACACCAAACAAGACCGACTAACGAATTGATTTCAAGACTAGGCGAACTGAGCAAACAGGGCCAAATAATGTTGGAACGCACGGTAGTCGCTTGTGCGCTAGGCGCGTGCAAGAGCCCAGTTGATAAACTTCAAATTAGCCTGTCTCCTCTTTGCCGATAGGGTCACACTTTATCTCAGAGCGGGTTATGATAGAGGTCGCAATGCATTAATGTCTTTGTGATGTACCTTTCCGCTGCTCAATATTCCCATCATAACCTCTGACTCAGTCTTGGAGAAAACATGTTGCCTTCCATCAACTATGAACAAATCGCAGCAAAGAGTGTGGAACTCCGTTGCGTTCAAAACGCCATCTCTAACAATTAAAAAGAAAAAGTTCATAAACTCATGGAACAGTAGGGGCTTTAGACCACACCGTAAAATCTCTG